GAACCTGTCCTGGATCCAGCCACTTCCCATCTCCCCCATGGCCACACCCTGGCCAGGCCTTCACCATCTCCTACCTGGACATCAATTTGAAAAAAATACAGAAGTCATCCTCTCCTGACTTCCCCAAGCCCTATATCACCCAGAGTCCTGCATGACCCAGGAAGCCCTGCCAGCCCTCCTCTCCTCCCTTTCCCCACCTCATCCACCTAGCCTGCCTCCCTGCAGCTGTCCAGACTCTCCCGGCTTGTCTCACCTCCCAGCCTTCGCACAGGCTTTTGCCCCCTGCCTGGATGCCCTTTGCAAGGATGCATGGCAACTGCTCACGAGGCCTGCCCTCACTATCCCGGCCAAAGCAGCACCAACTTTCTCTTCTTGCCACTTGTTCTTTGCCCTCCCAGGACTTAGTACGGTGCATAATAGCACTCCCTCTGTGATGCACACCATCCCTCCTGGACCAGCACAGTCCCCTCTGCCCTGGTCTCCCTGCACCTACAGTCTGTTCTCTCGGGCAGCCACCAGAGGGCTGTCTGTGAGCATGACTCAGGTTTGGTCCTCAGACTGACACCCTGTTCTCCCTGCAGCCATCATAGGCGCCAGAGAACACCTAGTCCACATGCCCCTGCTCTGCTCAAGCCCTCCATGACTGCCACGTCCCTGGTGTAAAAGCCCGAGTCCTCCGGCGCCTACTGGGACCCTGCACGACTTGACCCTCCCTTTGCTCTGGGTGTTCTTTCAGCCGGAAAACTCTTCCCATCTGAATCACCACTCCAGTCTCTATTCAAGTGCCCTTCCCAACAGCACCCCCACCTCCCTGCTGTCTCCTCCAAACTCACCGCTAGTAAACACATTGTCTTCTCATTGACTGTCGGCCCCTCCCCTCAATGTCAGTTCCTGCCCTCAGGGTTTTGACTTTGTTCAACGCACAGGGTCCAGCACATAAGCACACACTAGGTGCTTAATGTATGCTTGTTAAATGACTGAATATTTACGGGTGTTGTGGCCGCATCAGGCCCTTCCATGTCCAGCGCCCAACTCAGAGCCTGGTAAAAGCAGGCACACAGCCAATAGCCAATAGTTGAATGACTAATGAACTGAGCGCACAGCACCAGCCTGGGCGAACTCGAAGAGGTGCCTGGGCTTCCGCAGGACTCTGTCCAAGCGGGCAGCTGACTACAGCCGCGGAGCGGCGCCTCCCTCCTAGACATCCATTCCCGGTGGGGCCCCCTCCTCCGTTGGTCCGCACTACCGCACAACGTATCCCTCCCCAGCAAACATGGGTGCCCTTGCCCGTTCTTCCTCCGCCTGCACAGAACCCCTCTGCTCACGCGCCCTCCTTATCCCTCCGGATCTCCCTGAACCTCCCCTCCGGGGTACTCAGTCCCGCGAGACTCCTTCCTCTCGCCCCTGCGAGGTCCCTAAGACCCCCTCATTTGCCCCTTTCCCGAAGGAGTCTGGGCTCTGGCCTGCTCCAAGACCCTCCCTGCCCCCTCCACGCAGGCGCAGGGAGTCTCGGTCGTCCCCACCCCCCACTCCTGCCTTCCCCACTCCCCCAGCCAAGGGCGGGGCGAGGGTTGGTCCAAGGTAGCCGCGGCTCCATGGGGCTCCTAGGGCTCCTGAGCTCGCTGCACTCGGCCTTCTTCAGGGACCAGGTAGGGCGCGGGGCGGGGGGATACGGCCTTGGGTGCAGATAGAGGGTACGGACCGCGGGGACAGTGGTCCCGGCGCCAGGGGACGCAAAGGCTTGCGTACACAGACTTGATGAGTCTGGGGTCTCGCTCAGTCGCCGTGGAGATCGTTGCCTGGGAAACGGCCTTAGGCTGTTGGCAGGTCTGGGAGTCCCTCCTCTGTACTGCAGAGATCCCCTCCCTCTGTCTGCTCAAGCGTAGCCTCGCTGGGCCCAGGACTTGGCCTGGAAGGGAGACCTCCAGACCCGACCCATTGCGCGGACGCCGAGAAGGCTGGGGCGGTGGTGGCTACGGCAGGAGCGCTCTGTGCCGAGGATCCTCCCGGACAGGCTTTGTGTGGGGGCCTGGGCCACGCCCTGTGCCTATCCGGGCCTTAGTTGCCCCTTCTGGGCGCCGAGCGTAGGGCCGACCCTGACGTTCACCGACGCTGAGGTTCTTCCTAATAATAGCCATCTCACCTGCCCAAGCTCTTTGCAGGTGCTCGTAGTCGTTCTGAATCCTGGAGCTATAACATCCCCTAGTTAAGAGGAAATTCTTAAAAGGGGCTGGGGAGAGCCCAAGGTCACTCCCGGAACAGGGCCAGGAGCCTGATTGTCAGGCGGAGGCACGCTCAGACACTACCTGAACATTGTGGGGAGCTGTCCCTGGTGCTGACAGGACCGCACTCCCGACCCCTCCTCACCCATGAAAATGAGGCCCAGGACCCTGGTCAGGCGACCCACCCAGGGTCGGGCTTTGGGGGCATGGCTTGAACTCACCGGCCCTTCCCCTACAGCCAGGGGCAGTCTTTCCTCACCTGTCAAGGCCAGGTCACCCAGCCCCAGGCTTGTGGTTGTCAAATGATGAGGACGTGTGGTGCTTTCCTGCTTCCCTCCAACCTTCCACCCAGTTCATAATGGAGGATGTCCCTGGTTCTGCCCCAAACCCCTGGTCCTGCACGGTGGAGAGGCTCAGTGGAGAAGGACAGAGATTAAGGGGATAGAGACTCCTGAGGTCAGCCTCAGAAGGCCCAAAAACACTCCATGAGTAATGCTGCAGTGTGCTGAGATGAAGGGGAGAGTGCCTCAAGGAATGTGAAGAAGCGAGCACCATAATTCAATTTTCTCCAGAACCCAGCAGCAGTGAGTGGAGGGCTGGGAAAGGGCCCCTCTTGCTAGGCTTAGCCACTGTGCAGTGTGGGGGGTCTTTCAGCCCCTCAAAATGGAGCTTGGGTTCTTGGGGGGGGGTTCCTGAAACTCTAGTAGTTCTAGAATTTCCAGTGATGCCTGAGTGTACTGTGGCTCAAAGATTTATAGGGTTAAGGATTTGGGAGAATGTCAGGGACATAATGTTCAAGAGGCTTGTGGACAAGGGCATCCTGCTTTGGGGTCTCAGCCCCCACATCCTCTCAGCCTTCCAGGCCCCCATCATACCCAGATGGGTGAGGGAGGGAGGCCCCAGGCCTGGTGAGACTCTTGCAAGAACTCAAGCAACATGTTCCCTGCCCTGAGCTTCAGTTTCCCCATTGGTATGAGGGCAGGACTGGCCTTTAGACCCTACAAGCCCCTTCCATCATTAAGGTTCTGGCTGAGAGGGGTCTGGGGAACAGTGACATCTTAAGACTAAGTGGGGGAGGTGACTTAGTTCAGTGGGATGTAAGGGCAGGGATTCTCCAACCCACCTTCCAGTGAATAAAATGGGAAACTTAGGCCAGAGAGAGACATACCCAAGGTTACACAGGGATAGCAAGGTGGAGCTGAAATCAGAGCCCTGGACTCTGTCCCCCCCACTCCCCCATTTCAGCTCTAAACCCCTCACAACTCCCCCAGTCTGGCCCTACTACATGCTGCACTTCTTGGCTCCACCAGAAGCCCATATGCCCTGAATGAGCTCTAATCTCTCACAGCTCCAGGCATTGCACATGCTGTTCCCTCGCCTGGAATGCCTTTTCCCTCCTTGACCCCAGGGCCAATTCTTGTTCTTCCTAAAGAGGCCCGGCACTGGTGCTGCCTGCTCAGTTCAGCCTTCCCAGCCTCCAGAAAGAGCCCCTCTGCTCACTATACTGCTTCCCCAATCCCGCAGGCTGGGGACAGCTGTGTCCAGTTCTGGAGCTCTGGAGCAGTCAGGCCTGAGTCCTCTGGGGCCCCCAGCATTGCTGGCCCAGGATGACCACACAGGGCTTCTTGCAGTAGACCGAGCAGGAAACAGCATGGTCCCGTGATCTTGGCTGTCCCTCCTGTGGTCTCTGGCACCTGCCATTGTGAACACAGCAGCTGCCTCTCCATTTCACATATGAAGAAACACAGCGTCATGTAGTGAACAACTTTCCCTGGCCCCAGACACGGGGAAAAGACAGAGAGAGGCCCCAAACCCATGTCTCTGTGTCCCTGTCTTTTGGGGTGTGCATGTGTCAAGTGGCAGGGATGACTGGGCTGGAGCTTTAGGTTCTGGCCTTGGGTGTTAAATCCTCAAGTGGCCTCCATGGGTCCATTGAGGATCTGAGACAGCTGGGGACATGTCCTTCTGGGACCCAAGGCCCCTCCCTCCTCTGGCTTCCCCTCTTTAAGGGTGAGTTAGGGATTCCATGGGGGACAGAGACACAGGGAGACAGAGATGAGACAGATGGAGAAAGATGGAGGGACATGGTGGGGGGAAGAGACAGGAAGTCAAGGCAGATGCCCACGGAGGAGCTGACGCTCTTCCAAGGAGACAAGGAGCAAGGGGGCGCAATGCAGGGTCCCAGGCACTCCCCAGTTTACCAACCCACCCCCCATCCTCCCCCTCCCCCCACCAGCCAAGACCCTGTGGGGGTGCTGTGTCCAGTCTGGATCCTGAACCTTGTCCCACCCTGGCCCATCCTCACAAGATCGGGTCGATCCGAGGGGAGGAGGCTGACAGGCCCTGCCCCAGCTCCTGTCACAGCTCCTGCCCGAGGAGCTCCCCGCACAAGATGCTGATGTAACACACATGACTGGATGTTTTACTCTTAAAATTCTGTGAATCCAGCCGCGAGAGGTTCTGAGGCGTTTCATCCCGGAATGAGGTGGGGGACCCTGGGTCCTAGTCCTTGGGGAGCCCCCTTGCCCTGGGGACTTCACCTCCCCACCCCCATTCCCGCACCTGCAGCCCCTGAACCCGCGAGATGACCAGACACCCTGCGGCCGATGCCGGTCCCCGCCCCGGGCCCCCATTGGCTGTTGCCATGGCACCTGCCTGTCTTCCCGCGCCACCATTGGCTGCAGCCTCTGCATCCTGCATCCAGCATCCTCCCCCGCTCGCGGTGGTCTCGCCCAGCGCCCTCAGTGGCGGTGCCTCCTGCCAGGCCCGCACCAGCCTTTGTCCGCCCCGGAGCCCATTCTCCGCATCTCCAAGACCCCTGAACCCCGGAGCCCGCGCCCTGTGGCCGCCCTGGCCCAGGAGCGCTAGGATCTCAAGAGGGGTCTGGGAGCTGCACCAAAGGAGGAGGACCCAGGCCCGCAGCGTGGTGCGTTGCCCAGCCCAGCCCAGCCCAGCCCAGCCTGAGTGAGATAAAGTAAGCGGCGTGCTTTCCTGGGTGAAAGGCAGGGGGCGCGGCCTCCGCCTCTGCAGGGTTGTCTCCATCTCCCCCCTTCTCTCTGCTGAGCACACTCTGGAGCCTCCGTTTCTCCAGGGTGGAGCCAGAGGGTAAACTAAGTCCCAGGGAGGTGGGTGCCTGCGTCGCTGCAGTCAGTCTCAGGCAACACAACACCTGGACATCCCAGAGTCTGAGGGCAGGCCAGCTGTGTGCTTTGGGGGAGGGTGCTGCCCCTCCCTGGGAGTGTTTTCTTCTCAGTAAAGTGGGGGTTTGGATTGAAGGAGAGACAAGGGCCCCTTTGGTCCACATCTCTGCTACCTTCCGCTGAAATTTGGCCATTCACTCCTTAATTAAAGGAACCTCCAGCTATTGGTGCTTTCCCTTTGGTGATGAAGATATCTTGGGGAGGCCCCAGGAGGCCCCTGATGCAGCCTGGAGGTCAGGGGCAGGCTGGAGGGCTTCCTTGAGGAAGCTACTGTGTGAGAGATAGCAAGTCAGGAAAGGTCCTCCAGGCAGGAGAACTCAGGGTGCAAGGGCCTGGGGGAAGAACATGGAGTGTATGTGGAGGAGACAGGTCTAATGTCAAGGACACTAGGGAGCCATGGCAGCTTTTGGAACAGGGGAGGAATGGAATCTGACCAGTTACTCCCAAAGCTTCCTTTTGTCTGTGCATGAGGAGCAGACTGTGGGAGGCCAGTGAGGCTGCTCTTATGGGAGGGATGTGGGGGGCTAGGGTCCAGCTGGGCAGGGCTTGAGGGGCTGGTGAGAGAGTGGAATAGGGACCCAGGCCAGAATGTGGGGGAACCCTGTGGGGGCCCTGCTGCCAAGCTACATCTAATGAGAATGTAGAGCGTCGGAGGGAATGAAGGTATCCCAGGCTGGCCTTGCAAGGGTGGCTTGAGTCCGGGGTTGCTTGAGAAGGTAGTCTGGGTTTGGAGAATGGGAGGAAGATACAGGGGTTTGGGCTTCACCTAGTGCCTCTCCTGCACTGGGCACAGCGTTGTGGCCTCAGCCAGGACATAGGTCTCTGGCCAGACCACAGGGACCTTACCACAGCCCCAGGCCTGATCCTCAGCTGGGACTCCTGACTGAGCCTTGGGAAGGATCAATATTAGGGTGGTAGGCAAAGGCCATGGTCCCCAATCAGCTGGCTTCCCCATCTTATACTGTCTCCCCTTCTGACTTGTGGTGTTGTCTCCTCTGCCCTGTGACTTGTGTTTGCTCGATGACCACTGCTCCTCCTGACCCTTGCATCAGCCACGCTATGGGAATGGCAGACCAAGTTCCCCTGACTCCTCTGATGGGCAAACTGAGGTCTGCAGAGGGGGCGGGGCTTGTGTGTCTCCAGCATTGCCTGGACTTCTGAGCATGCCCAATGTTTGTGCCCCTGGCCTCAGCTTCTCCCTTTAATGGTGGCCCCTAAGACCCGGGACTGTGACAAGAAAGCCACATGACAGAGCCAGGCATTCAATAGTTTCTCTGAGCTAGTTTGGATGGCCTGATTCATCCTACCACTGGGGCCAAGCCCCCCACCCCTACTCCAGACCCAGCTGTGTCCTTGGTGACTTCAGGGTGAGCAGGGACCTTCTGGGGTAGGAAGAGAGAGAGGAAAATGAATAAGCAAGGGAATAAAAAGTGTGGCCAAGTAGGGGAGGGAGGCAGGGGAGGGTTGGCTGATTTGGGGAGGGGGTTAAGGTGGGCAGGGAAATGTCTCCCAGGAGGAGGTGGCAAAGGGGAAGGGCCGCCATTGGTGAGCCTCAGACAAAGGCAGAGGGAGGGGGAGCGCTGATGTTAAGGAAACAAAGAGGGAAGGTGGGGTGGGCAGGAAGGCTCTGGCAGGAGTGCCAAGCTGAGGGAAGAGGCACTGGCCAGTTAGACGGAGGGAGGAGGCTGGGCCTGAGCAAGAAAGGACAGCCAAACACACAAAGAAGCAGGCGGCAGTGGTGGAGCCCAGGCAATGGGGCCTGAGCCACTGAGGGCCACAGAGGCTGGGAGAGGGCTGACTGCAGGGCCCCTGGGCTACACAGGTAGCCACCCAGATACAGCCGCTGATGGAGAGGTTGTGAGGGCTGCAGAGCATCCAGGTTCTCAGTTCCCAGGGTGACTGTGGTGGACTTGGGTTGGGGCTCTACTGTCAGTCTGTCCATTGGTTTCTTAGAACATTCATGACATTCTTTTTGTCCAGCAATTGGGCCAGCTGGTGGTCTGTCCACCCAGCCTGTGGGCAGCTACCTTGCTGCAGGGATGTGTCTTGGCTGTCCATCTGTTTCTGGCTGGGACCGTGTCTGTGAGCCTGATGGCACTGGGTTAGCCAGTCCATCTGCTGTGCTAGACTGTCAGGGTCTCAGCTGTCAGTCTCTCTGGCTGTCCAGCCATCTATAAGCACACGTGTCTGGGAGCACAGGTGTGAAGATGGAAGTCTATCTGTGTCTGTCGGTCAGTTCGGTGTTTGGGTTGTCTGTGTGTCTTAACGCCCATGGGATGGCTCTGTCTCTCTCTTTCATTGTTCCTGCTTGTGTCTGTCACTCCATCTGCCATGCAGTCTGTCTCTGGGATTCCCTGGGCCAGCACCATCCTGCCCACAGCAGTCCACACCAGCCTCTCCAGCCTGGGACCCAGCTCCAGGTTGGGTGGGAGGACTAGGGCTTAGGTCCAGGGCTGCCTTCTCCTCAGAGTCTCATGTGACCTGTGGCTGCAGTCACTGCAGGAGCGGAAGATGACAAGCTCTGTGGCATCCTATGAGCAGCTGGTACGGCAGGTGGAGGCCTTGAAGGCCGAGAACAATCACCTGAGACAGGAGCTTCGAGACAACTCAAGCCACCTGTCTAAGCTGGAGACGGAGACATCTGGCATGAAGGTGGGGTGAAGGGGCTGGGCAGAGGACATGGGCCTGGGTCACAGGGACAAACACCAGGGCACTGGACCCCTGAGATGGGTAGGCAGGGCCAAGGGCATCTCACAGAGTAGCAGATCTGGGACAACCCAGGGCAGTGGCCATGCCAACCAGCACTCTCTCTTGCTCCCATGTCCAGGAGGTCCTGAAGCACTTACAATGCAAGCTGGAGCAGGAGGCCCGAGTGCTGGTGTCCTCAGGGCAGACTGAGGTGCTGGAGCAGCTGAAAGGTGAGGGGCCAGCCTGAGGCCCCTGTCTGTGCACCAGGGTGACTCCATCCACCCCTAGAGGGAGCTGGGAGGAGGAGAGGCAGGCAGGGGTACTGACCTTCCCTCCTCCTTTCATACTCATCCAGCCCTGCAGATGGATATCACCAGCCTGTACAACCTAAAGTTCCAGCCCCCTGCTCTGGGCCCCGAGCCTGCTGCCCGCACCCCTGAGGGAAGCCCGATACATGGCTCTGGGACCTCCAAGGACAGCTTTGGGGAGTTGAGCAGGGCCACCATCAGGCTGCTGGAGGAACTGGACAGGGAACGGTGAGACCACGGGAAACTGATCGCTGGCAGCTCTCATGTAGTCCTGCCCCCAGCCAGATACCACCCCAGCAGTCTCTGCTCTTTGATTGGCCCACCTGCATGCTCCCCAGTCCCACCCACCTCTCGGGCCACTGCCTTCTGTGGCCCTTCCACCCCCTTTCCTGGCACAGCTGACCTCAGCTGGAGGACAAAGAGAAGGGGGCATTCCTGCCAAAGGGGAGGGCTCCCGGAGCCCTCCCCAGAGGTCCCCAACACCCAGTTGTCACCAGAAACAGGGCTGTGCCCAGTGCCAGGGCTCAGAATTAGGCCTGGAGCCAGAGAGACTTAAGGCAACCTTTGTGGAGAGATGGCTGCAGCCCAAGAAACCTGGGCGGGGGGCCAGCAGAGGGATGCGGGGTCCAGGTGCTCTGCTCAGTTTGGCTGGGTTGTGTGGGGTCAGAGAGACCTGGAGGTCCATGCGCTGCTGCTGTGTGACTCAAGCAAGTTCTCTAGCCCCACACAACCTCGAACGTGTGCTCTGTAAAATGTGAGTAGCAGTGTCTCCCCACAGGGTGTTAAGGGGGAGACGGTTGCAACTAGAGCAATCTGAGCCTGAAAGCCTCCCTGTGTAGGCTGGAGGGAGATTAGGGAGTGTGGGATAGGTGTTAGAGTCAGAACAGCCCCCCTCAGGGTGGTGCTCCAAGGGCCAGAGTTTAACAAGGAACTACTTTCTCTTTTTTAATAACTTTCTGTGCCCCACCCACCCTACCCTAGTGCTGGGGAGCATCAAGGGCAAGACTTTGCGATGCTGCCTATTAAACTTGGCATACACTAAGCACCCAACAAGCGATTGCAAAGATGAAAATACACCACCCATATTAATGGCTCCTTCTCTGCGGGCCGGGCCCACCTACCTGCCCTCCCCCAGGTGTTTCCTGTTGAATGAGATTGAGAAGGAAGAAAAAGAGAAGCTCTGGTACTACTCTCAGCTGCAAGGCCTGTCCAAGCGCCTGGATGAGCTCCCGCATATGGAAACTGTGAGCGCTGGGAGGGTGCGGGCGGCAAGGGGAGGTGCCGTGGGTCGGTTCCGCCCCCAGCTAGGGGCGTGGTGAGCAGGCCCTTGGGCCCCTGGCTCCGGCAGCGCCTCACCGAGGCCTGTCCGCCCGTCCCAGCAGTTCTCCATGCAGATGGACCTGATCCGGCAGCAGCTTGAGTTCGAATCCCAGCACATCCGTTCACTAATGGAGGAACGATTTGGTACCTCTGACGAGATGGTGCAGCGGGCGCAGGTGCGGCAGCGGGTGCGGCCGAGGCAGGCAGGCAACGTATAGTGTGCAAATTGAAGTGCAGAGATAGTTGTGGAAAGAGTCTGGGACCAAGTTATGTGCCTCTGGTGTAATCAGTGGGCAGGGAGTGCTGTGGGCGCGGTCTGGCTCCAGAGGCGGAGCCAGAGGACCCTAAGGGCAGGGCTAGGCTCAGAGGCAAGGAACACTGAGGCCCGGGCAAACGGTGGATGATTTGGCCAGTGGGCAGAGCCATATCAGGGAGTGAGTGGGTTCGGAAGGATGGGTCTAAATTGGGATGGAGGCAAATGAGAAAGTAGGTGGGTCTAGAGTGGGGCCTAAATAGGGGGCAGGGCTAGAAAAATAGAGCAGGGTCTAGACAGCTAGTAGTACCAAATCTTGGGTAGGTGGAGTCAGAACCTAGGGAGAGGGGGTGCTATGGACCATGGGTCCGGCCAGGGTGTGAGTGGAGACAAACGTCAGGGTACAGTTTAGAGTGGGTGGGCCATATCAAGGAATAGGTGTAGTCAGAGCCAAGGGTGGGTTTGAACAGTGGGTCCTGCAATATAAAATAAGTAAGGGTGGGGTTAGAAGAGTGGGTGAAGTCAGAGGTGGGGGGGTGGGCCATATCAGAGAGTGGACAGGGTCAAAGCAGGGATGGGTCAGCCACAGTGAGCCTTGTACCTTTCTCCCACGTAGATCCGCGCTTCACGCCTGGAACAGATCGACAAGGAGCTACTTTCTGCACAGGACCGGGTGCAGCAGACGGAGCCCCAGGTACTGGAGGGGCAGAGTCAGCGCCCTTGGGGGAGGTGATGACCCCAGGCAAGGAGGGGACCCTGAGGGCCCCACCCAGAGTGTAGGAATAGGTGGAACCTCCACCACATCACCATAGGACTGTGGCCAGCATCACCAACCTGGGTGCTTTGTGGGGTGCTCTTGTAACCCCTAGCACTGGTGTTCTTTCCACAGGCCCTGCTTGCAGTAAAGTCGGTGCCAGTGGACGAGGACCCTGAGACTAAGGGCCCCATGCACCCGGAGGATGGTGCCCCTCAGCCAGGCAACAGCAAGGTGAGGGGCAGTCCAGTGGGAGGGGCACTGAGAGGCAAGATAGGGAGTGGGTAGCCAGCTGGATTGGGGTACATTGAGGCTGGTGGGGCCAGCATGTGGTCTGGAGCCTGGCAATGTGAGCAGAGATAACTGTCCTGTGTGTTTAGGAGGGCACTTAGATGTAGGGCTATCCCTAGCAGAACCCAGTGATGCCTGTAGAGTGGGCATTTGGCCCTCATGGGCTGGGGACATCTCCAGCTCCCCACCCATCTCCCCATGTGTGTGTGTGGTGCCCCTGGGGGATGCAAGGTGAGGGCAAGGGGCCAAGGAAGTGGTTCTCCTAGGCTGGGGTCACAAGACTCCTACTGTGTTTAGGGTGAGTCACCCCAAGTATGGGGGCTGTCCGTGGCTGGGGAGGGCAGCAGGCTGGCTGGGGCGAGGCACACCAGATGAAGCTCCCCACCCTTACTCCATCCCTGCCCACCCCCACAGGTGGAAGTGGTCTTCTGGCTGCTGTCAATGCTGGCGACGAGGGACCAGGAGGACACAGCTCGCACACTGCTCGCCATGTCCAGCTCTCCTGAGAGCTGTGTGGCTATGCGCCGCTCAGGCTGCCTGCCACTGCTGCTGCAGATCCTTCACGGCACAGAGGCTGGGGCTGGGGGTCGAAACGGGACCTCTGGAGCGCCTGGAGCTAAGGACGCACGCATGCATGCCAATGCAGCGCTACATAACATCATCTTCTCCCAGCCAGACCAGGGACTGGCGCGCAAGGAGATGCGCGTCCTGCATGTGCTGGAGCAGATCCGCGCCTACTGTGAGACCTGCTGGGACTGGCTGCAGGCCCAGGATGGAGAGTCTGAGGGAGACAGGGTGGGCCATGGTGAGTGGGCAGCCTCTCTGGCTGTACTTGCGCAATGGGCACAGAGCCTGGGCTTCTCAGGTGACAGGGCAATATCATTAGTTGTTGTCACTGCTAAAGATACTGTTATGATCTTTTCTGTGCACCTCATCTGTGCCCTGTGCTGGCTGAGGCCTTATGGCAATGTTGCCATGACAGAATGGCAAAAAGGACAGTGACCTGCAACCCATGCCCTAGTTGCAGGGTAGCTCAAGAAACAGTCACTGAATGCATAGATGGATTGTGGGTAACCAGAAACGTGGGTGCAGACTTTGAGATGCCTAGTTTTGGCAGCTGATCGCAAAGTTAATCTGACAAAAGCACCGCCAAAAGTTTCTGCGTACTCAGCGTGACCTCACCTCCCATCTCAGCTCTGTGCGAGGCAGGCCCCTTATTACTCATTTTAGGAAGGGTTGGAAAAGGAGGCCACTGCTCTGGGAGTGACCCCTCAGGCGCCAAGCATGCATGAGGCGGTTTGCAGAGCCCTGGGGTCTTTGAAGGTTGGAGTAGACGGGGAGGCATGGGACCCAACAGGGATCATTTCATGGACTGGGAGGGCTCTGCCCTGGTTTCTTGGCCCACAGCCCCGGTCCCCATTGAGCCTCAGATCTGCCAGGCCACCTGTGCAGTGATGAAGCTGTCGTTCGATGAGGAATACCGCCGTGCCATGAATGAACTGGGTGAGTGCACCCCTTGCCTCCTCCATACCCCCTTTTAGCCTGAGGCTTCTAGGCCTCATTCAGTCTGGAGCAGCCTTTTATCTTTAATGGTCCTGTGGCTCAGAGGACAGGGAAGCAAGTGGCCAGAAAGCCAAGGGCAGAGATGAGAGGTCCAACCTAATACACAGAAGCTACCAGGTGGTTAGGGAGGGGGTGAGGTTGTCAAGTTTTAGATTTGAAAGCATTACTACATCTCTTAACGTAATCGAAATATGGGGGAAAAAAAGCCATCAACATGCTTAATGTTACTTCAATTAATACAAAATGAGATCACTCCTTCTCACCCAGCAGATGGTCAAACACTCAAAGGTTTCGTCAGATTTTCTGTTGTCTGGCTGTGCGAAAATGGGCATTTGCAACCCTAGCAAGGCAGCAGACACTTAGGAAAGTATACACTTTTTAAGTCATTCCTTTCCTGGCTGGGAAACTTATCCCCTGGTTGGATTTCTGTAAGAAGATGCAGAAAAATGAGGAAGGCAGCAACAGGCCCAAATAAAGCCCCAGATCTGGAAACCACAGAAGTGTCTGGCCGCTCCAGCCCCTGCATGCACAAATTGTCTTTGTTGTCCTTGCTCGGTGAAGGGGGCAGGGTGCTTTCCATTTGAGTTGTGAGTTCTTTCTCTCCTACTTACCCTGACCATTTCCCCACAACGTTCGCTTACTCTTTGTAAAAAAAGTGAAAGCCTAGTTTTTGTAGTGAGTCAAGAACTGCGTGTGTGGCATAATCAGTAGCCCCTGAACACCTGCTGTCCAGGCCCTGCCCCTGGGACCAGCCCTGCCTTCAGAAGCTTGAGGTCTAATGGTCTTTAGGTGGTTCACACTTGGGGTGTTGAAGGCCTTCTTGACCTGGGAACAGAAGGGAGGCAGGAACCTGAGCAAATAGCAGGTAAAAGCATTCCATGCAAAGGCCTGGTAGCTGGAAGAAGTGTGAGTGGAGGTGGAGGACTGAAAGGAGGTAGGTGTGGAGGTCACAGCGTAGCCAGGGAATCGTGCCAGCCTGGCAGTAGGCTGTCTAGATGAGGTGTCCTTGGAGTTGGGTTTCGAAGGTGGACTTGAGCAGAGGAGATCTTGGAATAGGATGGAGGGCACCTAAGCAGGGGAATGGCATGTACAGAGGCTGGGAAGAAGGCAGGGGGTTTGTTTGGGGTGCCCCCTGCTGTATACAGCCTTGCTGTGCCCCCTCCCATGTTCCCACAGGTGGGCTGCAGGCTGTGGCAGAGCTACTACAGGTGGACTATGAGATGTACAAGATGACCCGGGACCCGCTGAACCTTGCCCTGCGCAGATACGCTGGCATGACCCTCACCAACCTCACCTTCGGGGATGTTGCCAATAAGGTGCCTGGGGTGGGCAGGTGGCGTCCGTGCCCTCCCCACCCTCTTCTGAGGCTCCAAACAGGCCTGAGAGGTGGAAACACTTGTCCCCAACTTATAAGCGGGTAGACTGAGGCCCAGAGAGGGCTGCTAGAGGAGATGCTATGACTGGATGTGGTCGGCCAGGCTGCCATCTGCTTGGTTGCTCTGCTGTAGAGAGTGGGGCCCCTGGGCTGGGGGAGGCTGGGTGTCTGTGCCTGTCTGAGCCTCAGTTTCCTCATCTAAGCAACAGGATGACTGCTGTCCCTTTGCCATGGTGGTGAGGATGGGGTGCTGGGGCTCAGGGGGAGATCCTGAAGGTGGGGCATGGTGTCCCTCAAGACTCCTGCCCCACTGACCATGGCGTGAATATCCTGTGGCACCCCACAGGCCACACTGTGTGCCCGGCGGGGCAGCATGGAGGCCATCGTGGCCCAGCTGGCTTCGGAGAGTGAGGATCTCCAGCAGGTACCTGGATGGAGTGGGGTGAGGCATGGGGAGAGCCTTGCAGGGTGTCCCACTGCCCAGGGCCCCTGCCAACAGAGTCCTCTCCCCCGTGGGTGTGATGGGCGTCCTCCCCAGTCTCTCTGTAGACCCGCTATGTGTGAGGTTGAGGGTGGGGGGCCCTGGGTCCACCTTGCCTGCCCTGCCCCACCCCACCCCAGGTGGTATCTAGCATCTTGCGCAACCTGTCGTGGCGGGCTGACATCAACAGCAAGAAGGTCCTGAGGGAGGTTGGCAGCATGACCGCCCTGATGCAGTGTGTCCTGCGAGCCTCCAAGGTGGGCACTGGGTGGGTGTGGTGGGGTGGAGGGGGCGGAAATGCACCTGAGACCCAGGGGAGAGGGCACTGGCACAGCTGCTTAATGCCGGCTACAGGGCAGGGAGACACTGGCAACAGGTGACAGGTTCTCCATCGTGAGGAAATCAAACCGAACAGTCACTGCTTAGCTTAGCAGGCAGTCCTCAGACAGGCCTGGGGCTTCCAACCCTGCAATTCAGAGATCCTGTGACAGCCAGGTTTATTTTTTCACTTTTACTTGAAAATGTATTTGGGTGCCTTTTCTTCCAGCCTTTTGTCTGCACCTTAATGGAGAGGGCCAAGTGGGTGGGGCCAGTACCTGGAGTCCCCTCCACTGAGCTTCCCGCATCCCACCCTGTGTCTAGGAGTCCACCCTGAAAAGTGTGCTCAGCGCCCTGTGGAACCTGTCAGCGCACAGCACAGAGAATAAAGCAGCCATCTGCCAGGTGGATGGTGCCCTGGGCTTCCTGGTGAGCACGCTGACTTACAAGTGCCAGAGCAACTCGCTGGCCATCATCGAGAGCGGCGGGGGCATCCTGCGCAATGTGTCCAGCCTCATCGCCACCCGCGAGGACTATAGGTGGGCCTGTCCCCCGCAGTCACAGTGGGTGGAGGGTGCCATGGAGGGTGCTGGGGGAAGGTGGACCCCCAGATGTGGTCTGGGGCTGGGAGTAGCAGATCCCATTCTGCAGGGAACTGTCACTGAGGCAGCCCTGGTTTGTCCTCCTGCAAGTGGTTGTTCCTGATTTGTCCTCAGGGACTAATTTTTTTTAGTACAAGTATTCCCAAATAGTGCATGAGATATATTTTGCTAAAGATTTCATTTATTAAAATAAATAAAACACTTATTTATTAAATAATACTAATAGTTTACAAATGATACTTAATATTTTTATTTTTATTTTTATTTTAAAGATTTTATTTATTTTTAGAGAGGGAAGGGAGGGAGAGAGGGAGAGAAACATCAATACATGGTTGCCTCTCACATGCGCCCTACTGGGTACCTGGCTCGAAACCCAGGCATGTGCCCTGACTGGGAATCAAAACGGTGACTTTTGGTTTGTAGGCTGGCACTCAGTCCACTAAGCCACACCAGCCAGGGCATGATACTTAATCTGTTTAAAACCAGATAAAATTTATCTATAGTATGTCTGTCCCAAACATCACATGAGATATTGTGTTAAAATGAGATATACTAAATTTTATTTTAAAAGATAAGTATTGTCCTGGCTGGCGTAGCTCAGTGGATTGAGCGCAGGCTGCGAACCAAAGTGTCACAGGTTCGATTCCCATTCAGGGCACATGCCTGGGTTGCAGGCCACAGCCCCCAGCAACTGCACATTGATGTTTCTCTCTCTCTCTCTTTCTCTCTCCCTTCCCTCTCTAAAATTAAATAAAATCTTAAAAAAGGGATAAGTATTATTAATTTATTAGTATATTATTTAATAAACATATTTTAAGTAAAAGAATAATTAGCACAAGTATATCCCATTCAATACTTGGAATAGACTTATACTATTTAGTATACTCTTTATACTATTTATACTATTTATACTATTTATACTATTTAGATTTATTCCTTTTTCTGAAATCTGAACTTAGCTGGGTGCCTTATATTTTTATTTGTTAAATCTGGCCACCCTGCTCCTGGTGAGACGAGGTGTGGCCCTGTCTGACACGCCCCTCCGTGATGCAGGCAGGTGTTGCGGGACCACAACTGCCTGCAGACTCTGCTGCAGCACCTGACGTCACACAGCCTGACTATCGTGAGCAATGCCTGTGGCACGCTCTGGAACCTGTCTGCCCGCAGTCCACGTGACCAGGAACTGTTGTGGGACCTGGGCGCCGTGGCTATGCTGCGAAACCTTGTGCACTCCAAGCACAAAATGATTGCCATGGGCAGCGCTGCCGCCCTGCGCAACCTGCTGGCCCACCGGCCTGCCAAGTACCAGGCAGCGGCCACTGCCGTCTCCCCTAGCACCTGTGTGCCCAGCCTGTACGTACGCAAGCAGCGGGCCTTGGAGGCTGAGCTGGACGCACGGCACCTGGCCCAGGCGCTTGACCACCTAGAGAAGCAGGATCTGCCTGAGGCTGAGGCCGAGGCTACCTCCAAGAAGCCACTGCCACCCCTGCGGCACTTGGATGGGCTGGCCCAGGACTATGCCTCGGACTCCGGGTGCTTCGATGACGACGACGTGCCCTCCCTGGCTGCTGTGGCTGCCACTGCCGAGCCTGCCAGCCCCACTGTGCTGTCCCTCTTTCTGGGTAGCTCCTTCCTGCAAGGCCAGGCACTGGCCCGTGCCCCACCTGCCCACCGCAGTGGCCCAGAGGTAGAGAAGGAGGCCGGTGGGGAGGTATCTCTGGCAGCCAGGGCCAAGGCCAAGCTGGCACTGGCAGTGGCACGGATTGACCGGCTGGTGGAGGATATCTCAGCCCTGCACACATCATCTGATGACAGCTTCAGTCTCAGCTCTGGGGACCCTGGGCAGGAGGTGCCGAGGGAGGGCCGAGCCCAGTCCTACTCTCCTTGCTGGGGGCCTGAGGGCGGGCAGCGGGAGGCCAGCAGCCGAGCTCATCCACTGCTGCGGCTGAAGGCAGCCCACGCCAGCCTCTCCAATGACAGCCTTAACAGCGGCAGCACCAGCGATGGGCACTGTCCCCGTGACCACACGCGGCCTTGCCCATTGGCCTCGCTGGCTGAGCACCGAGAGGGGCCGCCGTGTGGCCAGGTGCGGCCCAGCCAGCTTGACCTCAACCTACTGGATGGCCAGGCTAAGCCAGCAGCCCGGGAGGCTGCAGCCACTGATGCATGTGTGCGCACCATCAAACTGTCACCCACCTACCAGCATGTGCCACTGCTTGAGGACACAACCAAGGCTGGTGTGGGGCTCCTGGTCTCTGGGAATAGGAAGCAGGCTTGGCTGCCTGCAGAGGGCGTGAGCAAAGTGGCTGAGAAGCTGGTGGTGGAGGCAGCACCACTCTGCCTATCACGTTGTAGCTCCCTGTCCTCACTGTCCTCGGCTGGCCGCCCGGGCCCCAGCGAGGCAGGGGACCTGAATGACAGTGACTCGTCCCTGGAGGGACTGGAGGAGGCTAGCCCCAGCGAGGCAGAGTTGGACCAAGCCTGGCATGGGCCAGGGGATACCTCCCTGCCAATGGCTATCCCTGCGCCGCCTCCGGGCCGGACCCTGGGGGTAGAAGATGCCACACCATCTAGCTCCTCAGAGAACTGCGTGCAGGAGACACCACTGGTGCTGAGCCGCTGCAGCTCAGTGAGCTCACTGGGAAGCTTTGAGAGCCCGTCCATTGCCAGCTCAATCCCCAGTGACCCCTGCAGCGGGCTAGGCAGTGGCACAGTCAGCCCCAGTGAGCTGCCCGATAGCCCTGGGCAGACCATGCCACCAAGCCGCAGCAAGACACCACCATTGGCCCCCCCGCCTCCAGGTGAACGTGAGACCACCCAGTTCAGCCTGCAGTGGGAAAGCTATGTGAAACGTTTCCTGGACATCGCCGACTGCCGGGAGCGTTGCTGGCTGCCCTCTGAGCTGGATGCTGGCAGTGTGCGCTTCACTGTAGAGAAGCCGGATGAAAACTTTTCCTGTGCCTCCAGCCTCAGCGCACTGGCCCTGCATGAGCACTATGTTCAGAAGGATGTTGAGCTGCGGCTGCTGCCCCCGGCCTGCCCTGATCTTGGTGGTGGCAGTGGCCCTAGCCAGCACTTTGCTGGACACCGTCGGCGAGATGAGGCCAGTGGTCGCCTTGAGGGGCCACCTGCCACCAGTCAGGAGCTGGAGATGCTGCGGGATTGCCTGGGCGCAGCCATGCCTACCCGACTCTGCAAGGTGGCCTCAGCACTGGTGCCTGGCCGCTGCGCACTGCCTGTGCCCGTTTACATGCTGGTGCCCGCTCCAGCCCGGGAGGACAACTCATACAGTGACTTGGCTGAGGGCACGCCAGTCCACTTCAATGTGGCCCCACTCAGCGACGAGACACTGCAAGTACCTCCCAGGAAACTGCCCGGTGGGCGTGGGGATAGGCAGAAGCCAGCAGGCCGAGAGGCTCCTGCAAGGCAGGCTGCTGTGCATCGGCACAGGGTTAGGGGTGTGGGCCGCAGCACGGAGCCAGCCCGGGGGACAGGAAGGAGGCGAGCAGGGCTGGAGCTGCCCCTCCGAAAGCCCCTGAGAGCTTGTGTGGACAGGGACAGCCCCCAGGTGGGTCGAACCCATGAGGAGGGTGCAATGCAGTCCCTGTGCCTCACCACACCCACCGAGGAAACTGTGTACTGCTTCTACAGCAATGGCTCAGATGAGGAGCCATCCACAACAGCGGCGGTGGCACCCTCCCTGTGGGCACCCGCTATTGCTCAGGCAGGGAAGAAGGAGCGCCTGGCTGGCAGGAAGAAGGCACAGGCTGTGCCCAAGGCCGCAATGCCTGCCAGGGCCCAGCCCAGCCTCATCGCCGATGAGACACCACCATGCTACTCCCTAAGCTCCTCCACCAGCTCCCTCAGTGAACCCGAGCCCGAAGCAGGCAGGCTCCAAGCCCGTGAGCCAGTGGTCACCAAGGACCCAGGCCCTGGAGGCAGGAAAGATGGCCATCCCAGCCCTCGGGCCAAGGTGGAGCTACTGCGGCGCTGTGTTGGCTCGGCCATGCCTAGGCGCTGGCGGCAGGCATCAGATCCACGGTGTTGCAAGCCCCGAGATGCCCAGCTGGATGAACGGCCAGCAGAGGGGACCCAGGAGCACAGTGAGGAGGCATCAGGGTCAGACCACGCCTCAGACCTGGACAGCGTCGAGTGGCGTGCCATCCAGGAGGGTGCCAACTCCATTGTCACCTGGCTGCACCAGGCAGCAGTGGCAGACACCCAAGAGGCCTCATCTGAGTCTGACTCTCTCCTGTCCTTTATGTCAGGGCTGTCTGTAGGCTCCACCCTGCTGCCCTCCCCACACAGGAAAGGGCGGCGACCACGGGCGGAGGGACAGGTAAGCAGTACCACTCGGCCAGAGAAACGGGATATGACCCTGGCCCAGCGCAGCAGCAGCCCCTGCTTGCCCTGCGGCCCCGAGAAACTGCGTGGTGCTCAGAAGACAGTGTCTGGGGTACCAGCCATGCTCCGAGGAAGGACAGTGATCTACGTGCCCAGCCCAGCCAGCCGGGCCCAGCCCAAAGGCACCCCTGGCCCCCGCACCACACCAAGGAAGATAGGACCCCTGAGCCCCACACAGCCAGCAGCTCCCACCAAAGCCCTGGGCCCTGGACAGCAGCGGTCTAGGAGCCTGCACAGGCCTGGCAAGATCTCAGAGCTTGCTGCCCTGAGCACCCCCCAGAGGAGTGCCACTCCACCAGCCCGCCTCACTAAGACTCCTTCATCCAGCTCCTCCCAGACCTCTCCTGCCTCCCAACCCTTGCCTAAGAAGTCACTCCCAGCTTCCCATGCTTCAGGGCCCCTGCCCAGCCCTGGGGCCTCCCGGGTGCCCAAGACACCCATGCGGACCCTGCTGGCCAAGCAGAACAAAACGCAGAAGTCGCCCGTGCGAATCCCCTTCATGCAGAAACCCACCAGACGGGGACCACCACCCCTGGCCAGGGCAACCCCAGAGTCAGGCCCCAGGGTTCAGGTAGCACCCAAGGGGTGCCCAGGTGCCCGGGGGGGCCGCCTGGGCCTGGTACGCATGGCTTCAGCCCGATCCAGTGGCAGCGAGTCCTCCAACTGCTCGGGTTTCCGAAGGCAGTTGACCTTCATCAAGGAATCGCCAGGCCTGCTGCACCGCCGCCATTTAGAATTATCCACTGCTGAAGCCACCTCCTCTGCCTCCCAGGGCAGCTCCCCCCGCCGCAGCAGGCCCATGCTGCCTACTGTCTTCCTCTGCTCTTCACGCTGCAAGGAACTGCGGGCATCCCCAGCACTGGTCCAACGGCCCCTCACAGCTCAGCCAGGTCCTGGGGAGCGGCCACCAAGGCGCACTAGCTCTGAGAGCCCATCCCGTCTGCCCATCCGCAAGCAGGCCACCCAACCACAGGCAGTCAAGCGCTACGCCTCTCTGCCCCATATCAGCATGGCCCGAAGGCCTGAGGGTGCTGCCCCTGGTCCCAAAGCCGATGATGCCCACCAAAGCAGCAGTGGGGAGGCCCGACCTCTGCCCAGGGTGGCCTCACCGGGCACCACATGGCGACGAATTCGGGATGAGGACGTGCCACATATCCTACGGAGCACACTGCCTGCCACTGCCCTTCCACTCATAGGCACCTCACCTGAGAAGTGCCCTGGCAGCCCCCCGCAGCGCAAGACCAGTGATGCCGTGGTCCAGACCGAGGACTTCTCTACCACCAAGACCAACTCCAGCACGTCCCCGAGCCTGGAGAGCAGGGGGCCCCCCCAGGCCCCAGCTGGCAGACCTGCACCGTTCCTCAGTAGCGATGTGGATAGGCCTGGCCCTGCCAAGGGGCCCACCTTGGCCCCCTTCATCCATGAGGGCCTGGGAGTGGCTGTGGGGGGCTTTGCTGCCAGCCGGCATGGCTCCCCCAGCCGCTCAGCTCGAGTACCCCCTTTCAACTATGTACCCAGCCCCATGGTGGTGGCAACCACTGACTCGGCGGTGGAAAAAGCCCCTGCGCCCACTGACCTCCTAGAATAGTTGCCTGGACCAGTCTTCTGGAACATCCTCTCTCACTGGCCATCTGGTTGCCCTGAGAGTAGTCCCAGGAACCGCCTGCTCACCCAAGTCCCACCGTTGGAGCCCACTCTAGCCCGAGGGGGCCTCATATCTCACACTTGCTTCTGTGCTGTGGGGACTTGAGAAGGAATGGGCTGCTGGCTGGACTACAAGTCCTGGCCTGACCCATGTGCAGAAACCACCCACCCACAGCCCCATTGGGCCTAAGCCTCAGCAGGACCCTCATCTCTGGGGAGCCAAGGGAGGTTACAGTATTCCCCCGAGGTGGGGGATGCAGAGGGTAGTGTCGGCTAGCATCTGCCAGCTGGGCCCAAGGCATCCAGTGGAGAACAAAGCCCATAATTATGGGTGCAGCCGAGTAATTTGTTAATGATAACTGCTGGTTTGTTTGCCTTCTTACTCCCAGCTGAGAGAGGGGTGTGGCTGAGCCCAACAGTGAGGCAGGCCTCCCCTCCACTCACCCTCCCCGCTGTTAGGTGCTAAGCCAGGGGCTGAGAGAGAAGATGCTGTTGGAATAGGCTGGAGAGGAGCAAGAACAGGGCAAAAGAAGACTGGGCTGGGTGATGCAGGGCCACCCTATGTCCTCACTCCTGGCTGGACTGGGTGCTTGTTTCAAGTAGAGGAGGAAGAGTCCAGGGAGGTAGGTAGAGTCAGGACCAGCTGTGGTGGGTGAGGTGCAGTGGGCAGGAGGATGAGAGTCATAGTCAAATCCGGTTCACCCTGGTGACACACAAAAGCCCAGATCCATGGGAGGGCACGACTGCAGAGACTGTGGTGAAGTTGGCAACATGGCCTTGGAAGAGGGGCAGGGCCTAGAGCCCCGGGACTGTGGCTAGGCCAGCTGGATGTGTGGAGGCCAGGGCTTCCGCAGTGCTAGAATGTTGGTATCAGAGAAGGCTCAGATGGAGGGGCACGGGGAGCCTGGTGGGCTTACCCAGGCCCCCGACAGCGTGCGTGTGTGCTGGGGAGACTGCTGAGGTTCCTGCTCGGCTTTCCGCAGACAGAGCAAATGACCTCTTTTCTGGGGAAGTCTGGCTCTGGGAAGGAGCTGCTCTAGGCTCGCGGATCTGCTGTCACAGCCGCAGTGCAGAGAGCTGCCCAGGAGGGGCCAGAGAGCAGATGGCACTTGGGGAGACGGGCCACATGGTAACAACTAGACTTTAGGTACCTTCTCTGGGAGGTGGGGAAGCATGGTTGACGGATGGAAGTGCAGAAGGAGCCTCTGTCCCTGCCCACAAGCACCACTGTCCCTGTCCCCTATCCATGGAAGGAGCTGACCCCAGAGCAGAAGTGCTTCTGCTGGACTATCCTCAGCTCCAGGGGCCACATTTGATCCCAGTCCCAACAGACCATGCTGCTGTTGCTGCTAACACATCTCTGTCATGCTATATTACAAGCCCTGGAACTTCCTGTCCTGCAGAACAGGTGCCAGGACTCTACCCCTGAAGGCCACAGGCAGGATGCAGGAATGGCTGGACGTACCAAGTGCTCCTCCTGTGACCAAACTTCCCAGGATGAGCTGGCACACAGTGGACCATAGCAATGAGGGCTTGGCAGCATGTTGGACACACCCACAGCTGACCCCTCGGGATACAATGGGGCAGGTGTTGTCTCAGATGCATCTCAGAAATCACCAGTCCTTGTCCCTATCCTTAGCCTGAAGGGGCAGGAGTAGGTGATCTCAACTCTTGAAGTGCAGGGGCTGTCAGATATATGCTCTTACACTGGCCATGGGCCAGATGCCCCCCAAAATGGCCTGGTGGGAGGAGGAGACATGCAAACGTACACCAAGCTTGCTGATCCATAGTGGGTCTGAAATGGTGGGGCCTGTGGGTGGGAGCACCCATGCACTGTGAGACCCTGGGTGGTGCTCTCAACACTCTATGTCTCAGTTTCCCCATGTGGGCCATGAGGAGAACTCCCAGAGCTACCTCTAGAGCCAGAGTGGCTGCTGCAACTGGGTGAGATGCCCAGACCCTCCCTGGCTGCCCCCTCCACCTGCCCCTTAACCTCAGACGGGGGCAGCTCCCACCTAGGCCAGCACACAGGGAGCTCATGCCCCATCCATGTCCTGCAGCCACATTTGCCTTCTCCGTTCCCATGATGAGGGCACAGCTACACCTCACAACCACATGGTGTGGGGCGGTGGGGGCTCTGGGCCCTGAGAAGAGCAGTGGTCACTGGACAACGGATTCTAGAATGGAGCTGGAGGACTAAAGTCTTAGGACCCAAAGGACATCTCCCATGAAACCTTGATCCCCTCAGGGCTGCTCGGCCACCTGGCCATGCTGAGGGGGACCCTGTTTGCCTCCAGAGCACCCTCAGCCCATGACCTTGGGAAACCACCAGCAGCTGAGTGCTGGATTGAGGCAACGCTCCTGCAAGTACAGCATTACCTCACCCCCTCTGCCCCCAGTCTGTCACCTGGCCAGTGGCCATAACAACCCACCCTGAGCCTGGTTGTTTTGGTCCATCCATCTCTGTGCCCCTCGAGTCTATTCCCTGGGTCCCTGAAGTGTTACGGACATGTGTAAATAAATATAGCCCTGTTCCCCTTCCCACCCCATTCAACCTAAAGCCATTGTCTGGTGGAGGGAAGGCACAGAACCAGGCATCTCATGTGCACCTTTAATAAATGGAGCTGTTGAATCTTGTTCTACATGGCCCCGCTTCCACATGGGGGAGGACAGGGTGGAACTGGAGTACTTTGTGGATGTGCAGGGGAAGGTAGCTGAAGTGTCTCCTCCTGATACCAGGGAGGAGGAGGCATGCTCAGAGCCCCCAGAATCAGATTTAAGTAGCCCCACCTGAAGGCCAGGGATATGCAGGGAGGGGTGACCTCTCAGTTCAGGGCAGCAGGGCACCTTCAAGATATTAGCAGATGGGCTAGGGGGCCCTGGACAATGTAACCTCTGTGTCTACTGCCCTAACTGGAGCCAAACCAGCATTTTCAGGTCTCAGCCTTAAGCAGGCATCCTTTTATCAAAGAAAAGAAAAACACCCAGGGTGCTGGGTCACCCATGTCAAGGACTTGCCCTGTTTAGTCCAGGTGCTTCTCTAAGCTCCAGGGGAACCCTGGAAAGGAGCAGCTCACAGAGACACTGCCAGATGGCTGATGGCAGGGGGATTTCATCTGAGGGACTTGGTGGGGACACCCATGACAGGCCTGGCCTGCCAGGATGGAGGTGGCCAGATGAGGGCTTCAGGCAAGTAACTGAACAGCTTCTATCTTGGGAGCCCAGGCCAGCACCCCTGTCTGGTGGATCCCACAGTCTATAGGTCAGTCCTACATCCCAACCATGAACCAGATGGACAAGTGCTACCCTGGGGGAGAGCCCGCACCTTCCATCTGAGTGCTTGGGGCCATTGGAGGCCCCCTCTCAGATCGGGGCCCTGCTGGGCAATTGCTCCTACATGGCCAAGACCACTATGGGCAAAGGAAGGGACAGAACCCCCATCCTCTTCTGGAACCTCTGAGGGCCCCACAGGGGTTCACACAGAGACAAGCTCAGGCTCCCAGCAATCAGACCCAGAAGAAAAACCTGAGGGTGAACGGCATTTGCAAAGCCTACCCTGACCCTTGGTAAGGGCCTATGTCCAGGTGAGGTAGGTGCACCCCTCATTCCACACTGTCCCTGCTGCAACCACACACAGGATATTAGCAGATATTAGCAGATGGGCTAGGGGGCCCATCTGCTAGGGGATAGGGTAGGCTCTATCCCCTGGAGTCTCTGGGTCCTAGGGTGGGGCTTGTCCATGACTGGACAGAGAGCCCAGAATCTGCTTCTGGGACCCGGGGGCCCATGTCTGAGGTGTGCCAGGCCAGGACCAAAAGTTCCAGAAGGCTGTGGGGTGCACTGTCTGGGAGCTGTGTGCTCAGATGAGTCCGAGGGCCAGGTCAACCTGAGGAGGTGGCCAAGGCCCCTGGCAGTGCCACTTGCTTCACCTGGATGACATCCTGTTCCAGTTCCTGGCTGGCCTGCCGAAGGTCATCACACCTCTGTCTTAGCTCCTCACTCGCCTGCCTCAGCCGATGATTGGTGGCCACAAAGGCCTGGCTCTGCTGGTACAGCTGCTCCCGCTGGGCCTCAGGGTTCTCAGCCCTCCAGGAGGGGTCTGAGGTATCTGGGGAAAGAACACAGCCTGATGGTCAGGAAAGGGGCAGAGTGAAGGCTCAATTTACCTCCTTAGCAAAGCATGTGACCAGAGAGGGTAGGTCACAGAGGAGGCCCTGCCTGGGATTGGACACGACTTCTGTAAAAGGCACTGACCCCACAATGGAACCACTGAACAGGCTGGCACTTGTGCCTGTTCTCAAAGCCTAGGATGCAACTTCCTGCTCCCCGAAAAACTATTCTACGGCCCTGTAACTTTGCAAAATCCAACACTGGTATGGTAGTCAGGAGGCCACAAAAGCAGGAAGGTGTGGAAACATGTCTCTAGGTGACCCCACTTCCTCACAACAGTGTGCCCAGCCAAAGGAAGTGTGTGGAGGGTAGCAGGACAGAAAAAGCACAGCTTCAAGGTCACCCAGAGACATGTCCAGGTCCTCTTTGCTCTAACTGGTCCTGTATGAATGGGAACAAAATGGCCTGCCCTGTTCGGCAACTGTCTGCTGTCACACCCCTGCAGGACAAAGGCCTGGAACAGGCCCTGGTACTGGGGTACTTATCAATCACTTTTTTCCCCCACCTGTTTTAGTAACAAAGTGGGAGACAAGCCAGGTACTTATCAATCACTTTTTTCTGGTATTTATCAATCACTTTTTCCCCCCACCTGTTTTAGTAACAAAGTGGGAGACAAGCCAGACAGCACACATGGAGACTAAGTGTGGTCCCAGATCAGAACACGGGCCAGCAGGGAAAGCACCTCTCCTTTGAGCAGCCCTAGTTCTGCCTGTGCCTCAGCTTCCCCACCCTCCATATGCTGGCAGACCTGCACATGACTCTTCAGCTAGGGCTCCAGAAGCCTCAGATGACTCAGGATGGGGCTAAATACAATTTGCGTTCCTAAGTCTGCCCATCCAACAGAGCATTTCTGGTGATGGAAGAGTCCTCCATCTGAGCTGTTCAATACAGCAGCAGCCAAAAGGGCCTCTCGAGCACTTGAAACATGGTTACGTGAAGCAAAGAACTGAATTTGTTTACTATTACTTAATTTTAAAGAAAATTTCCCACATTACCCACAAGACTCCAGTTTACTATTTCTGGTCCCTATGGCCCGAAGGCAGAGTTGTCATCTCCTTGGTTCACCTTTTCACCCCAGTGCTTCGAACAGAGCCTGGCACATAACAGGTTCTTAATGAAGGTTTAACGAGTAAGCAAACCTCATAGCCAGGAACACAAAATTCACTCAACGACTGCAGGCCAAAGCCCTCAGTCACTGACCAGCTACTATCTCCACGAGGGACTGACCAACTTTTCCCACAAAAGGCCAGACAATACACAGTTTTGGCTTTGCAGAGCCAGCCAGTCAGTCTGTCCCGACTACTCAGCTCTGCCATTACGTCCTGAAAGCAGTCAGGTCCACACATCCACAACCAGGCATGGCTGTGCATCAACAATTTACCAACACTAACCTTAATTTCATAACATTTCCACTTGCCACAAAATAGTCTCTCCTCACCCTAAGAACTGGAAAACTTCCTGGGCTTACAAGAACAGGCAGTGGGGAGAATGGCTGCAGACCCCAGTGCTAGATGCTCCGCTGAACACGCGCCCCACTTTATTGCGAGAAGAGGGGGCTCAGGGAAGGTAAAATCGTGCCACAACCTCTGCTCGAAATCCACGGCTTCTGCGGGCTGCGGCTGGGGCGTGCTTCCCCCCATTCCCCCACCCCACACACTTCGCTGCTGGCTCTTGGAGCGGCCTCTTCCCTGCTGGTGCTGGGCTCCCCCTACCTTCTGGGGCCAGGGCAGTGAAGACCGGGTCCTCGGCGGGCGCTCCACGTACATCCTCGAGGATCTGCTCCATCGTGGGGGGCGCCGGTCGAGTGGGCAGCACCACGCGCTTCTTGGCCTTCGAGCCCATCATTCCTGGAGGCTAGAGAACGAAGGAGCGTTAAGGAAGAGTCCACCTCTCTCCCTTAGCGAACTCCTACACACCCGCCCCACCCCCGCCCCTTCTGACTCGCCTCGCCCCTTCATCGTTCCAGGTTGGTGGGGGGCGGGGGGGCGGTCCACCTCTCAGTTTCCCCGCTGAAGCCACCAAGCCTCACCTAGGCGCGCCCCCTTGAGTAGCAGGCGCCTGAGAAGCTACTTCTGCTTCCGGTCGGAGCGCGCTTCTCCCTCCCGGTACTGACGCGCTTCCGGTCTTCTCCAGCGAGATCACGCCCCCTCTTAAAGAGGCCGCGCCCGGGAGGGACTTCGGGCTATACGAAAGGAACTGTGACCGAACCAGACCCAGGGAGGACGCGACCTCAATCTCTCCGGCGCGTGGAACCTGGGAACTCAAGGGGTGGGCGTGGGGTCCAGTCCCAGCTTCCCTTCTTGCGTAACAAAGCACCAGAAGCCCGGTTTTGTGCAAAAGGTGCACCCATCTATGCAAAATGATAATTTCCATCCCACGTGGCTATCGTGGGAACAAAGTTGCTGTTCACGCAAGGTGGCCTGGCGCACAGTGAGCGCGCAGTGAATGCTAGCTGCGTGAATTACCAGCGAGGTGACCAGGGACGCAGGACACGTGGCATCTCGCCTGCTGGATCTAGGTCAAGATCGCTCCTGTGACCTCTAAAAACCCCTCCCCTGTGGGTGGTTCTGGATGGTCATCTCGGCTAGAATGGGAAGACAGACTCAGAGCAGAGGGCGATTTAAAAATTTTTTTATTTGATTTTTTTTTAAACATTGATTTGTCGTTCCCTTATTTATGTGTTTATTGGTTGATTCTTGTATGTACCCTGAAGAGGGGCTGAACCTGCAACCTTTGCTTATGGAGACAATGCTCTAACCAACTGAACTATTTGGCCAGGGCCGTGTGTGTGTGTGTGTGTGTGTGTGTGTGTGTGTGTGTGTGTGTGTGTGTGTGTGTGTGTGTGTGTGTGTGTGTGTGTGTGTGTGTGTGTGTGTGTGTGTGTGTGTGTACAGCTTTATTGAATACAAATTACATACCATAAAGTCCACATGTTGAAAATGTACAATTCTGTGGTTTGGGAATATATTTGTGTATAAATTTACAGAGTTGTGCAACCATCACCACAGTCTAATTCTAGAATGTTTGCCTCATACCAAAGAGAAACCTATTAGCAGTCACTCCCCTACCACCAATCCATTTATTGTCTCCGGATTTGCCTGTTCTGAACATTTCACATAAATGGAATCACACACTATGTGGCCTTGGGTGTCTTTTTCTCACTGAGCATCATGATTTCAAAGTCCATCCATTTTAAAAAACTTCCATCTTTTCCAGGCCTGAGTAATATTCCAGTGTGTGGAGGACTAGAGGACTATGTGTTTATCTGTTCATCTGCCTATGGACACTTGGGTTGTTTCTATATTTTGGCTGTTGTGAATCTTGTTCTGTGAACACACTTTTACGGGTTTTTGTGTGAAATTCTGCTTTCAGTTTTCCTGGCTACATACCTACAAGCGGAATTTCTGGGTCACTAAGTAGGTGTGTTTAATAGCCTGCCCAACTGTTTCCCAGGGGCCTACCCCAAGCTGGTGCATTTGGGTGCTTACTGTGTGCCAGCTGGGAAAGCTGCCTCTTGTGATACTCGGAGGCATTTGGTGAGACATGTGCTATTGGTGCATGACACAGGGGAGGCCACAGCAGCTCTGAGAGGGAGGCCAGGTGCCCCTTAACACACAGTCTTGCCCTGCCAGGGCTGGGCTCACCCTCAGACCTAAATCCAGAGCTAGGGGCTAAGTGAGGAAAGACTCTGGGTGCCTGGGCAGGACTGGGAGGACAGCTAGGGAGGACAAAAGAGGGAGATGAGACTCTGCCCTTGCTGACCACCTGCTTCTTGTGGGTCCAACTGGGCACCCATGTCTCCTCCTCCAAGATCTAGGCCAGGGGTCCATAATGGTGTCTGGTTCCAAGTGCTGAGGCATAAGCCTCTCTTTGCCCAGCTGCAAAGCCCTCAACAGATCCTTCCCTGCTTTAAGGCCTGAAGTTGGCCAACCTGAGCCCAGTGGCAAAGCAAATTCCTAGGTTCCCAGGGCCACAAAAGGGAATGGTTTCTGGGGCCTGTGGGCTCCTACAAAAGGCAAAGCCTGCCCCTCTGGCCTGAGTGAAGCTCCATAGTCAAGGGCACAGGCCAACCTTAACTTCCTTGTGGAGGTCCCTTCCCCACTCTGGAAATTGAGACAAACATGTCCCTACCTCATTGGTGTGAGTGAGGACAGAGGAGGGGCATTTAATAGCTTACTCTGTACCTCCTTTCCCACCCCCACACCTCAGGAGCCTCTTTCTGTCCCAGATGGGTGGGAAACCCACTTTGCAAATGGGGAAGTTGAGGGTGTGAGGGGATGAGAGCAATGTACCTCAGGCCTATTAATTCCCTCAGCCTCCCCACAACCTTCAGAGAATGGAAAACAATTATTGGAGGCTCAGATACAGATACTCTTTGACTATTTGTCAGTGTCGATGAGATGGAAGGGGGAAGTTGGGCTAGGTCCCAGAAGTTCAGCTCTCCAAGCATGTGGGCATCACTAGGAATCCTCACCCATCTCCAACCTCCCACACCTGAGATCTCTGGGCCCCAGGCTGACCCCCTTCCCTTTGTGGGTTGCTGGGTCCCCTGGGATGAGACACCTACAGACTTGACACCTCCTAGTTAACATTTATTTGCAAACTCAAGTCAGACATGGTGCCCAAGACTCTGGATAGTGTCGCTGGCTCTCCCTCCACCTTCCCCAAGATTCTGGGGCTGAGAAGGGATGGTGGTCGAGGTTGTGATCTGACCTCTGCCCTATCCCACCCCACCCCATCCCAACATTTTAACCGTGTAACTAGACATCTCTCTCTCTTTCACCTGGACCTGCCAAGTCCAGGTTGCAGGATTCCACGCAGACCATCCTAGGCCTGCAGATCTGGTGGCCATCCAGGGCCATCCAGAAGCAGGTTCTCATGCCCACCGCTGATGGAATGAGAGAACGGAGCAGCAGTGCCTGCCAAAGACCTAAGCCAAGGTGTACATTGGCTTTCCTTACTGGATGTCTCTGGTGTCCAGCCAGCAGTTGGGACTGGGTGGTAACAGGGGTGGCCTCCAGCATTGGGGAGGGGCCCACACAGGGGAGTGAGCAGCCTGTGGAGAGGATGCTACAGAGGAGGGGGCTCCCAAAGGCTATGGCCAGCAGGGTCAGCACCATGGCCTGGGCCAGGCTGTGGTCTCCACAGCAGGGGTAGGTAGTCCCAGTGGGCTGGAGATGGTCTTTGTGGGAGGTGGGTCCTGAGCAGAAGCACCCATGCTCGTCCAGTATGTATAGCAGGCAGCAGGTGGTTCAGCTGAGTGGGAGCCACTGTGGCAGGTGTAGGAGAAGTGGCAGCTGGTGCATACTTGCAGGGTGCATGTGGCCAGGCACCCAGACCCAGCAGTCACTGCTTGGTAGGTGAGACTGAAGTACTGTGATGGGCAGTGGGAGAGGTAGAGGTGGCCTAGGATGGAGGTGGGACTGTGGCATTCTGCAAGGGGGACATGGACACAGAGGTGAGGCCGAAGCCTGCAGCTCCAGCCCACCTACACGCCCTGGACTGCACATGCACACTGCCAGCAAGTGGGTCACACCACACTGGGCACACATGCGCTGCTGCTCACCTGGGAGCCTGTGGGCCTTGCTGTCATGTCCTCAGCCGTCCCATAGAGCAGCAGCGTGTAGCGGTACAGCATCCCTGGGCAGGAGTCATGGTAAGCATAGGGATGAGCAGCAGAGGTTACTGGCGGCCTGATCCTGCCAATCTGGACCACACTTCCCAGCCACCCCAACCCCATCCTGGAGCCTCAGACTCAGACAGTGACCCAGCCCCCCAGTAGCCATTGCAGGCTGGTAACTGGATGGCTATTCTGGTTACTGGACACCTACTGTGCAAGCAGACCATTGGGAGCCCTCCTTCAGTGGGGTAACCAAGGCGGGCCTCAGAGCCCCCAGCCTCTCACCCGTGTTGAAATAGTAGCCCTTGTTTTCCAGGCTCAGGGTCCACAAGCCCTGCGGGTTCTCATCCCAGAAGTGGGTGGACATAAAGATCCAGTTGTTGTAGCCTTGGCCACTGATGTCAAAGGGTCTGGGACAGACAGGTATGGGTAGGGCAAAAGAGAGGCTCTGGAACCACAGTCATGAAGGGGCCACTGAGCCACAGCAAGTGTCTGACTGCAATGCCAAATGCTGGATGGAGGGCCAGCCCCCATGGAGCTGGCCCCTCCCTGTGCAGACCACACCAGACCCCACACTGTACCAGCCCCTCCCTGTGTGAAACCATGGGGCTGAGTCCCTGCCCTTGTACCTGATGGCAACAAGTGTGGAGCGGGTGCCCATAGGGCTGGTCAGCGAAATCTCCAGGTCCCCCCGGCGGCTGTAGGACAGGGACAGCTGCACCTGCACATGCTCCAGTGAGCGGATGTAGTTGGCACGACCAGCACAAGCCAACACTTTCTTCCTCACGTGCATCAGTGGCAGGATGGGGCTAGGGGTGTCATGAGGGGCATCAGGGTCCCTCCTGCTGGCCTGCTGGGGGCATGGCAGCCAGCTGGCAGGGTCTGAGCTCAGGTCATGGGGCCCACTCTCTGGGATTACCGAGGCCTCAGGGCCTGCCTCCCTCATGTCTGCCCCCTGGGTGTTACTAATAGGCGTGGGAGTGGGCTGGAGTGGTGACAGACATGGAGAAGTAATGAGGGGATGGTAGGTGTCCACAGTGGTGGGGAATGAAGAGGGTGCTCACGTGGGGGTGTGCAAGACCCGAATGATGCATTTCTTCTGGGGCTGTGTGGGCAGCCATGCTCGAGCCAAGTCCACCAGCAGCCCGGCATCCAGCAACCCATAGCCATAGTGGTGGCTCACTGCATGGAGAAGGGCCGTCATACGCCCTGTGGGCATGGTGTCCCCACCTCCACCCAGCCCTGCCGCACCTTGGCGCCCCACACCATTGGTCCTCCAGTCCTCAGCCTGGAGATGTGCCTGCCTGGATGCACGAACCACCAAGTGCTGCATGTCCCTCCATGTCAAGAATGGGCTAGAAGCAGGTGAGAGGGTAAGCTGGGACTACAACTGGAAGGCCACGGTGGTAGGTAGGGTGTGGCCCACAGTGCTAGGTAGGGTCCCCCACTGTCACCTACTTGGCTTCCAGAGCCAGAGCAATTATGCCTGCAGCTAGAGGGGCAGAGGCCGACGTGCCTGTGTGCTTGTCAGTGCACTGGTGGTGCAGGTCCGTGGTGACCTGGGGGCAGAGATGGGGACTCAGGGGACCTGGTGCACACGAAAGCCCAGCCCTTGTTCACATGGAACCAGGGACTCAAGAAGGCATCACAGAACATTACACCAGAGGAGGGGCCTGAGTGCTGCCCACGTCCACACCCCAGAAACACAGGCCGGGGGTATAAGGGGGCAACAGTGGGGCAGGGCCTGGGACCCATGTCCATGTTCCAGCACTGCAGGAGCAATCCCTGGACGGAGGGAAGATGGGGGAACAGGAGGGAAAATGAGGGGACAGGAAAGTGGGTGAGGGGTCAGGAGGGAAGGTGGGGGACCAGAGGGAAAGGAGGGACACAGGAGGGAAGTGGGGACACAAGAGGCAAGGTTGGGGCACAGGAGGTAAAGTAGGGGGACTGGAGGGAAGGTGGGGGGAACAGGAAGGAAGGTGGGAGACTGGAAAGAAGGCAGGGGGATAGGAGAGAAGGTGACGGGGACTGGAGAGAAGATGGGTGAGATAAGAGGGAAGGTGGGAAAGCAGGCTTGGCCAGGCAGGGCGAGCATGGTGGTGGGGCCCACTCACAATCTGGGGGTCAGTAACAATGCCACTACTGTAGGTGGTGGTGAGGGTGGAAGCACAGGCCTCACTGTACCAGGGCACATGACCGTGCTGGGTGGTGCTGCCGATGGAGAGAGTGTGGATGCTGTTGGTGTACCCGTCGCAGTTGCAGTTGTCATAGTGCAGGCCACCATTGCCGGATGCCCAGATGAAGAGCGTGCCTAGCCCACCTCGGCCCTGCAGATGGAGACGGGACAAAGGATGGGGATGGGGCCAACAGCCTTTCATGCTGGCACAAACCCTCCAAAGCCCCAGGTCCCCCACTCACCTTGGTCACGCCGTGCCTGAAGGCCTCTTGGGTTAGGATGCCAGGACCATCCACTGTACGGCCATCATCCTCGGGACCCCAGCTGGCACTGTAGATGTGGATGTGCTGTGGCTGCAGGCTCAGTGACTGGGCCTCGATGACATCGGTGATGGTGCCATCCAGCATGCGCACACCTGCACAGGCAGCAGTCAGTCCTCTGCAGACAGCCCTGCCAGTGCCCCTGCCTGTCCAGGCCAGCTCCAGATGCCCTGGCCAGGTACTCTCTCTGTTCCCAGGGAGTGGGGACATTTGGCAGTTCCTACCCTGAGTCTAGGGCTCCTGAATTGCTGAACAACAAGGGCATGGACACGAAAAAGCTTCCTCCCCTGATGGATTTGCTAACCGTCCCTGGCATTACCCTCTACCCAGTGCCACCTGGTCCACCCTCCGTCCCTAGTAGGCTGGAGTACCTCCTATTCGGGCGTTGTAGGCGACGCCTATACCGCAGAACCTGTTGTTAGCTATGGCTGCCACTTCCCCAGCACAGCGGGTCCCGTGCCTGGTGCCAGGGTAGAGAGAGGTGCTCATTACAGCTCACCCAGCCCCCCACAGGACACAAGGGCCATCCCCAGGTCATGTGGGACACATGGCTCACCGGTTCTCATCACTGGGTGTGTATCGTGGCTGGGGGTCTGGGTCATAGTCGTTGAAGTCGTAGCTGGCCAGAGGGTCCTGGGGGTGGGGTGGGGATGTGAGGAGGTAAGAGTGGGCCATGGGACTGTGGGGGGGTGGGGTGGAGCAGCCCCTGCCCCAGTCCGCCACGGCCTCACATAGTTGGCCCAGAGATCCGGGTGGTCCTTCTCAATGCCATCGTCCAGGATAGAGACCACGATACCCTGGCCCGACAGCCCCTGGCTCCAGACTTGCAGGATGTTTAGGTCTGGCTGTACCTCACTGTTCTGTGCCAGATGGGCTAGAATTAGTGGGGCTCTCGAATGGCCCAGCCCAGCCACATGGCCCAGCCTGCTCACCATGTACCACTGCTTGGAGAACCAGGGGTCCGTGGGCACCACTGAGCGCTTCACTCGCCACTGCAGAGTCTGCTGCTCAAACCACTGCACCTGAAGGGGGACATGTGCCAAGAGGGGGGCTGGGCCAACAGGGCTAGCCTACCCTCCCCTCAGCTATCCTGCTCTCACACCCATATGCACTTTAGAGGGCCTTGTCCCATGGACGAAGAAGACCTGCTCATCTGAGCCCTCCTCACCAATTCCTGGTTAAAGGACCCAAGCCTGTGCCTAGTCTTCCCAGGCCTCTTCTCAGGGTCCACCAAAGGGCAACTGTCTATGAGGCTGTGGTTGGAGTGGAATGTGGGTCTGGGTTGTCCATTGCTTGTCCTGGGGCCCTTGTAGTGTGGAGCAGGGCCTGGGGCTCTGCCTTCAGAGGGGGCTGAGGCACTTAGAGCACCAGGGCCCACAGACAATTGGCCATGGCCTGGGATGACTGGGGGTTCTGGGATCCCAGCTCTATCCCTTCTCCTGTCCCTGTTCTAGATTTCTCTGCCAAAAACCTGCCCATCTTCCCTCTGCAGTAGCCACTTCTCTCTACCACTCTCTGGTTTTCTAGCTGAGCCCCCACCACCCACTACCCCCAACCCACTCTCAACACACAGCAGCAGCACTCTCTGTTGAAACCTTCCATGGCTCCTCCCCACCCTGCCTTCTCCAGGACCCACAAGGCCCTTGCTTGTCTGGCCCCTACTAGTCTCCCTCTGCTGCTGCCACAGTGGCTGCCTCATTCAGGACCTTTGCACAGGTTGTTCTGCCTGCCCAGGCTGCTGTTCCTCAGATCTTCACTCTTCCTTCTTCCTCATTGATCTCCTACCTCCCACCCCCACCCCCAAAGCCAGCTCATGTTCACCGCCCCATCTCGGCAATCAGGACCATTGTTTTCCCATTTGCTCTGCTCCAGTCTTGGGAGCTGGCCCTGATTTCTCTCCCTCTGTCCTGTGCGTCTCATCCATTGGCAAGCCCTAGGTTCTCTCTTGCAACCGCATCTCCAACTAGCCAGTGTTCCCTGTTGCCAATGCTCCATGAGGGTTTCGAACAGTCAGGCTTCTTGCCTCCTTGCCAGTCAGCCACCTAGCCCAGTTCATACCCCTTTATGGCTCCCAAGGGCTTGACAGACTCAGCCTCAAAACCTCAGCTTGGCATCTAAGGCCTTTTCCCTGTCATCTCTTTGAGTGCCTGGAGATAGGGTGCTTGGTCCCAATTCAGCCACGGTCTCATTGTGTGACTGCAGGCAGGAGTCCTCCTCTTTGGAACAGTTTCCTTTGTCACAAAATGGGACAGTTCCCCTCCTTCCATCCCATGAGCTAGAATGTTAACTGCCGAGGGGACTTCCGGCAAGATGGAGGAATAGGTGGACGCACCGTACCTCCTCGCACAACCAAGAATAGAACAACAATAATTTACAAATATAATATCACTCAGAACTGTCAGAGGATTTATCTGAATGGAAGTCGGACAGCCAAGAAGTTGAAGTAGACCCGTACATCCAGACTGGTAGGGGACGACGAGCCGGGAGGGCGTGGGGCTGGCGCGGGTCGGCGGCGCGCAGAGGTAGGGGGAAATTTGGCGCAAAATCCGCACGACAGCCATCCGGGGTGCAAGAACGCAGCGGTGATCCCTGAGTACGCAAGCTGCGGCTGGGGGAACCAGTGAGGCAGCGATTGTGGACCAGGGCAGAGCTCGCAGCCCAGGATCCCAGGGAAGTGTCTGAGCCCAGGAGAACCGAACTGCCGCCATTGTTCCCACCCGTCCCCGCTCCCGCCCCCGCTCCCACATATAACGTCACAATCTAGCGACTGGGGTGCCCAGCCCCGGTGAACAACTAAGGCTCCGCCCCCCATCGTAACAAGAGCGACCAGACTGGAAAATAAATAAATAAATAAATAAATAAATAAATAAATAAATAGGAGAGACAGGGAAAGACAAGACATGTTTCCAGCAGAACAGATCAGTCCCCCAGGACTCATCCTTTGAGCGACCAAGAAATAGCCAATCTATCAGACGCACAGTTCAAAACACTGATGATCAGAAAGCTCACGGAATTGGTTGACTTTGGGCACAATTTAGATGAAAGGATGCAGGTTACCATAAAAGAGATGCAGGAAGATACGCGGAGGAGAGCCAATAGTAAAAGGAAGGAATCTGAGTCTCAAAACAATACAGTGGACCAGAAGGAAGATAGAATCAACCAAGCAGGAAAGCATTATGAAAGAAGAATTCAAAAAATCGAGGAAAAAGTTAAGAGCATCCAGGACACCTTTAAACATTCCAACATCCGAATTATAGGGGTACCAGAAGGGGAGGAGCAACAAGTGGAAAAGTTATTTGAACAAATAATAAAGGAGAACTTCCCCAATCTGGCAAAGGGAACAGTCTTCCAAGAAATCCAAGAAGCTCAGAGAGCCCCAAAGAAGCTGGACCCAAGAAGAAACACACCAAGGCACATCATAATTACATTAGCCAAGGTAAAAACGAAGGAGAGAATCCTAGAAGCAGCAAGAGATAAGGGGACAGTAACCTACAAAGGAGTTCCCATCAGACTGTCAGGTGATTTCTGTAAAGAGACCTTACAGGCAAGAAGGGGCTGGAAAGAAATATTCCAAGTCATGAAAGACAAGGACCTACATCCCAGATTGCTCTATCCAGCAAAGCTCTCATTTAGAATGGAAGGGCAGATAAAGTGCTTTTCAGATAAGGTCAAATTAAAGGAGTTCATCATCACCAAGCCCTTATTTTATGAAATGCTAAAGGGACTTAACTAAGAAAAGAAGATAAAATAAAGACATGTATAGTAAAAGGACAGCAAACTCACAATTATTAACAACCACACCTAAAGCAAAACCAAAAGAAACTAAGTAAACAACTAGAACAGGAACAGAGCCACAGAAATGGAGGGCACATGGAGGGCTAGCAGCAGGGGGGGTGGAAGGAGGAGAGGGGGGAAAAGGTATAGAAAATAAGTAGCATAGATGGTAGGTTGAAAATAGGGGGAGGGTAAGAATAGTATGGGAAATGTAGAAGCTAAAGAACTTATAAGTATGACACATGGACATGAACTAAAGGGGGGGAATGTGGGTGGGAGAGGGGGTACAGGGTGGAGGGGAGTGAAGGGGGTAATGGGACAACTGTAATAACATAATCAATAAAATATAATAAACAAACAAACAAACAAACAAACAAAAAAGAATGTTAACTGCCCCTCTTTATGGGGTACCTGTGAACCTGAATCTTTCAGGATGAGATAGAGGAGGGAAGGTAGGGTTTTGACAAGGAATGCTGATAGTGTGCTAGGCCCTGAAATGTGCACTGCGCACACATGTGTGATCTCTTGCTCTTCATGGATCTTCCCCATCGGGGTCCCCACTGTTTAGACTGGAGAGCCAAGTGGAAACTAAGACTCAGAGAGAGCAGGTGAGTTGTCAAAGGTCACAGCCATTAATAACAATCACAAGAATAACGGTGTCTGTAGGGGAGAATAACAGGGCAATGGCTAAGACCCCCAGGAGGCAGCCTCAAGGCCAGGCTCACCTTAGGGTCTTTCTTCAGGCGCAGGCGGTGGCCCCAATGCGGGGTCAGGGACTGCTGGACCACGCCCCGGTGCCGCAGGTGGAAGTACTGCCCGTCAGGGAAGATCTGGGAATGTGAGGTGCAGTCGCATCGCTGAGACCCGACTCCCCTGATGGAGCCTAGTGGGGACAGCCCCCTTGCTTGTATCCTCCCCCAACCAGGTGCCCAGCTGTGGGTTTCAGGTGTCCTGTGAGGGTGCCAAAATCTGAAGTTGATCGAGGGAGGGGTTGGTTGGGGTTTCTTGATATCTAGAGTACCTGAGGGACCACCTCCCGCCTGTCGGGGTCTGGGGTCTGGGGTCTTGGGTCGTCCAGTTCCCGCCCCCTCCCGTCCATCCGGGTCCCACCCACCTGCCCCAAGTTGACGAAGCCGAATTTGCGCGCCAGACGCTCGGCCTCCCGGTAACCCTGGGACACCCGGACGGCCCAGCTGCTGACATAGATGGGAGCCCGAGCCGAGACCAACCCCACAGAGAGGGGGCAAACGAGGGCCAGGCACAGGGGCAAGACCAGGCGCCGCCAAAGGGCAGTGCGAATGGGCCGCATGGCGGTGGGGGCGGGGCCTCCAAAAGGCCCACCCCCTGGCCAAACCGCCGTGTCAGCCTAAGCGCTCGCCCTGCTCCCGGTGCCATAGCAACCCCTGAAAAGCCTCAACTCCCAGGGGCCCTTGCGACTCCCCTTGAGGAGCGAAAAGATCCGACGGAAATGGGAGGATGGACACACGCAGACCCAAACTCTCGAGAACTTCAGTCCCCATACTTGTACAATGACCCAGTTCTTCTGACCCAGAGGAGTGAGTTCACAGTTGTTAAGACTGACCCCACCCCTTTATTTAGCACCGCCCCCTCGTACACACCATTCCCTCTAGAAACAGCCCTGCCTCCTCTCCTGTCCAACCAGAATTGTTCTTTAGAGAGATTCCACCTCCTCAGTTTAGTTCCGCCCCATACCCACCATTCAGATTCCGTCCCTCCTCTGAATAATATGCCCCGCCCCTCCTGTGTTCTTGCCAATTAATTCTTTCCCTTTTCTCCAATCACCTCTGGTCTTTCTCCGGCCCCTCCCGCAAGCTCCGCCTACCTCAGCACGCCGCTTTCCTCTCCCTGCTCCACTTACACAACCGCTCAGCCAATAATCCTTGTCCTTGACCCCGCCCCTCCAATCAGCTACGTCCCACTACTGTGCGGCTAATCGGTGCACTCGGCCACCGCGCCCCGCCCCCTCCTTTAAAGTCTCCCCTGCAGCAGCCGCTGCTGGCCAGAGGGCAATGCGGCGGGGGAGACGGGGCAGGCCCCACCTCCTTTGTCCGCCCTGCCCTCCCATTGGCCGGGGCCGGGGGCAGGGGGCGGAGACCAGCCAGGGGGCAGAGACCAGCCCGCGAGCCAGGCGGTGCGGGTCTCTCAAGGCGAAGGCTGCACGCGCTCGGCGGGGCCGGTGCGCCGCACTGAAGTCGAGCTCGGGCTGCCAGCCCTCGGCCCGCCGGTGCCATGGACGGCCTGCGTCAGCGCTTCGAGCGTCTTCTGGAACAGAGGAACTTGGCCACGGAAGCACTAGGGGCGCTCGAAGCAAAGACCGGTGTCGACAAGCGGTACTTAGCCGCGGGTGAGCCGTCCGGGGCGCTCGGGGCCGTCGCCCCCTTTCACCGACGGGCACAATGAAACCTTGGGGCACCTGAGCCTCAGCCCTGCTCCACTCCGGCCTGCCCCGACTGCAGGGTCTGGGCCGTATGGAGGGGCACGCCCCATTGTCCAGCAGGGAGACCAAGATCCTGGCTGGGGAAGGCTGGTGGACTGTGACCTCGGATGAGCCCGCAGCCCCTCCCCCTGTCCCCGCCGTGCCACCTTGATGGAGGGCCAATCCCTCTCTCAGCTCCTGCAGTGCCCCCACTCTAGCCCTCTGGTCTGGAGGCCTTCCTCTGCCCCCTCCCTTGGGGCACTGGGTGCCTGGGCGAAGTCTGGTTCTTCCAGTTGCCCTGCTGGCCCCAGGGGTAGGGAAGAGGAGGAGGGGGCAGAGAGGCAGCCAATTTCCTGAGTGTCTCTTCACCCCTTCCCAGTTGTCCCCCAGCCTGAAAGCAAGTGTAGAGATCTTTTTTTCAGAAGACATGCTTCCTGCCGGGAAGGAGGGTCACTCCCACCTCCTAGTACCATCCCCTTGGCCTGCCTTCTCCTCTCACCGATCAATGGCTTTGGTCTACTGTAAACGAATAGTGGAGTTGGAGTTGGGTTGTTTGGAAGTCCAGGGAGAAGGGGCTCTGTCCATCTCTGACTGTAACTTCCATCCTAATCTCTCTTTACTTCTCAATGACCTGGGGTGGCTCCTGCCACTTTCAGAAACTGTTTAGTAAGCTGTTAAATGCCTTCCTTCCCTCTTTTGCAGTGTTCCAGGCCCATCCATTCTGCCTCCTCTTTTAGGAAGACCCCTCTGGAGTGAATCACAAGGACATTGGTGGGGGATGGGCTCTGGGTGAGGACAGTGCCAGGTGCATTGAGAGCACCTTCTGTGTGCAGATGCTGCGAGTCCCTTTCCTCCCATTTTCCACCAGCTGAGAGATCCTCACGCCAGGCAGCCCAAAGAGGGTCCAAAATTTCCCCCCAGATTCCTGGTGCCCAACTCATTTTTGTTCAGCCAGGGACCTGCCCTTGGGAACAAGCCATTGACCTCCTGCCTGGATTTCATCCCTGGTACCAGTGGTTGGGCAATTTAGGTAATAGAGCAATGGGGAGGGGCCCGGGAGGGGCCTGATAGGGAGGCTGGCAGTTACAGGCAGGAAACTAAGGCCCAGAGAGGCAAGGGCTGTGTGGGAGGATGCCCCTGCCACCTGCCTTGTCTGGAGTATCCACCCCTCCCCACCTCCCTGGGCCCATCTGTTGCTGATCTCAGGCCATGCCCTCCCCAGCCCATATCCAAGGTCATCCTCATATTGCTGAGGCTGCAGGAATAGGGATTGAGGGGAGGCTTGCCCTGGGAGAGAGCCAGTGCTCCCCGACTTGCAATTTCTGGGAAAGAGGTGGGAACTATCCCCTATCCCCTCACCCAGATGTGGGAACTCTTGGGCTCTACCTGCCCCAGATGGCCAAATCTCCAACCCCAAGTAACAGGGAAACCCAGAGGAGTCAGCTAGGGAGCCTCTTCTCCACTCTTGACCCTAGACTCTGGGATAACAGCTAATGCAGTGGAGGGAAGGGTGAGGTTGACTCTGCCCTTTGGTCCAGAGTGGTTTCTATCTCTCTCTGCAGATTATCGCCTCAGAGAGGGAGGTGGGAGGCTGTAAATGCTTCTGAGTGACCCTGGGCAGCCCTTCTCCCCAACAGCTTAGTTCTGGCCATTGCATGAGACAGAACAGGGAAGCAAACAAGAAGCACTTAATAAATGTGACAGTTACCATAATTGTTTTCAGAGTGGCTAATGCTCCTGGTTCCCCACACCCCCACACTATTCTCTGAGCTTCATTGTTGGGAGTGTTTTCCTGACCAGAAGTCTCTCAGTAATGTGTGGAAAGGACGAGTGCGCTCTGTTGAATGTGTTTAGCTAACCCCACAACCACCCAAAGAAGCAGGGCCATTACCACCCCATTGACAAATGAGAGAACTGAATCTCCAAGCAGGTAGAGACTTGTTCAGTGTCGCATGGTGAGCAAATGGAAGAGCAGAGGGCTCCCCAAGGTCTGAGAGACTATATTACCCTTTGCTGCTTCCTGCTAAGGCAAGGGGTCTCAAATAGGGCCATGCTGCCTCCATTAACAGACTGGGTAGTGTCTGGGGACATCTGTGGTGTCACGACTGGGGGTGCTTCTGGCATTGAGCAGGTGGGGACCAGGGAGGCTGCTCAACATCCCACAGTGCCCAGGATAGGCCCCCGAAGAGAATGACGTGGGCTGCATGTCAGTCAAGACTGAGAAACCCCACCCACACTAAGATGAAATTTTAAATCGTGTTGCCTTTGCCCGCTCACCAGCAGTCACGTCTTAACAACAGAATGACTTCAATTTTAGGGTTTTTTCCTGTTACTTATATTCAAATACTGGCATCATGTGCCCAGCTCCTCCTACAGGTCCCAGAGTGAGGTGGTTAAAATTGCAGACGATTACTTATTCATTCAACAAATGTTTATTGGGCAGCTACTCTGTACCCATCAGAGCCAAGGACCCTGCCTGCCTTTGAGATCACAGTACTGTAGGGGGGATGGCCATGTTAAATAATTGCAGACACAAGACTCATGGTTCAGGGCCACAGTGGGGGTCTCCCAGGTGCTGTGAGACAACAAACATCCTAGAGGGGTCACGGAGGCTCGTGCCACTCCGTGTGGTGCATCTGCCAGGCCAAGAGGAAGCTGAGTGCCCTGCAGGCTGGGCATGGAGTGAGCCAGACCTCTACCCACACCGCTTTTTTCTGCAGGAGCCACCACTCTGCTAAGCCTGTATCTTCTGTTCGGTTACGGGGCATCTCTACTGTGCAATCTCATCGGCTTTGTGTACCCCGCATATGCTTCGTGAGTGCCTGCGGACTATCCAGGTGGGGGGTGTCTGGGGGCTCTGGGCAGTCCCTGACCCTGCCACACCTCCCCCCAGGATCAAAGCAATCGAGAGTCCAAGCAAGGAGGACGACACTGTATGGCTCACCTACTGGGTAGTGTACAGCCTATTCGGGCTTGCCGAATTCTTCAGCGATCTACTCCTGTCCTGGTTCCCTTTCTACTACGTGGGCAAGGTGGGCACCACTGCAACACACACACGACAGGGACTCCTGGGAGCAGGCAGATGACCAGAGACTGGGGGGGTCTGAGGGGCCTGCCCTGCTGCTTCCTGGGGGGTCTGATGGGGATGGCCCAGGCCCATCCCAAGGGGCATCTGATGGGGGTGGCCAGGCCCATCTTAAGGGGCGTTTGATGGGGCTGGCCTAGGTCCACATAGCCCAGTGAGAGGTCTAACCCCTCCTCATGGAGCCCAGGTCAGGGGAGCCAAGCATAACGGCCGCCCATGCCCGCAGTGCGCCTTCCTGTTGTTCTGCATGATTCCCGGGCCGTGGAACGGGGCTCGCATGTTGTATCGCCGCATCATACGTCCGCTGTTTCTAAAACATCACGAAGCCGTGGACAGCGTTATGAGAGACCTCAGCGGGCGAGCCCTGGACGTGGCAGCAGGAATAACCCGGGACGGTGTGTGTTTGTAGGGCATGGGGGTGTCCATCTGTCCCAGTCTCAGTCTGTCTGTCCATCTTTCAGCTTAGTTGCCCCCACTCACCTTCACTCCTGCCTCCCCTCCTCCTGACTCTGGCCTCCATCTGGCATCTTGGCAGCTGGCATCAAGCATTCTGCCTGCCCCTCTCACTGTCCACCTCTCTCTCCTATGCTCTCGGGAACCAGTCCTGCAGGCCCTGGCCCACAGCCAGGCTCTCATCACTCCAGTAGCTGTGGTGGAGGGCCCCCCACTGCCCTCAGAGCCAACCATAGGTAACCTCCATCCCTAGGAACTAGGGCCTGTGTGTGTGCATGCATGCATAGGTATGTGCATGTGTGTGTGCCTGTGTATGTGTGGGTTTGTGTGTGCATTATATGAGTTCATTTGTGTGCGAGTGCATGCATAAGTACCTGCATGTGTGTGAGTGCACCTAGATGACTGTCCCTGCCAAGGTTGGCTGCTGACCCCACCGTGTCTCCCAGCAGCCTTCATCCCACTCTCCAGCAGTTGAGCACAGCCCCAGGGCCTGAGAGCCTGGCCAGATCTACCTCACCCCAAGGCTCTTTCTCTGCAGCCAAAGTAAGCGTAACCCAGCTCCAGCAGGACAAGTGAAGTCCCTGCCCAGCCCCCGAGCAGGCCTGCCGAGCAGCCAACTAAAAGGCACATTGCATCCCAAGTCCTCCACGGATCCCTCAACTAACTCTGCAGCACAGACCGCCACTGTTCCGTCAGCCCCTGGGAGCGCCTCACATACCACCTTGGGCCAGTCCCGGGCCACAGGTGCTGCCAGTGGCTCCAAGCTGCCTGGCAAGTCCCAGGCCCAGCCTGGGTTAAAAGCCAATTCCTCCAGCCAGCCCCAGGCCCCTGGCCAGCAGCTCTCCCGGCCATCTGTCTCTTCCTTGGGGCCCTCCCAGCCAGCCCACCGATTATCAGGCTCCTCAAAGCGATTATCAGGCTCCTCAAAGCGATCACCAGGCTCCTCACAGCGATCACCAGGCTCCTCGCAGCAGTCACCAGGCTCCTCACAGCAGCCCAGCACCCCCTCCAATCAGGGCACCCCCACTGTGCCGTGTCCCAGTGGTACCAACATCCCCATGCAGCCCCCCCAAAAGACCTCCAATGGACCAGAGGAGCTGGCCCCCAAGGCCTCCAAGTCCAGCGATCATCAGCAGAAAGGGTCCCCAACACAAGCCCCAACCAGTACCTCCGTTCCTGAGCTTCCTGTTGCCTGCCAATCTGAGTCCTCTCTGGATTTCACCTCAGAGTCCACCACTGAAGTCACCTGCAGCTGGCCCCACCACTGCCCCTGGCTCCAGTACCTGCACTGCTGGCAGATGAAACACCTGGCCTGCTAGGGGAGGGCTCAATAAAGCACATCTGGCCAAGTCTCCTCTCACCATCTGTCCAGGGGGGAAGGGACAAGGGGGTCTTTGGGGGGGACCATCCTATCTAATCAGAGATGAGAAGGTAAAAGTCCCACTTTACAGATGAGGAAAACAAGGACCAGAATAGAGGTCAAGTGGCCAAGATGAATCGGAGGTGAGAAGTCCACATTTTTCTTCTGGAAGGGGATCCCAGGAAGCTCCAGTAGGGATCTGTAGGAGAAGGAGCCAAAGAAGTGGGTATGGCCAAGCCTGGAACAACTGTGGGCACCTGGAGCTCCAGGAGTCTGTGCCCAATGCGCACCTGAGACTGTACCCAGGTGCTCAGGGAGCCAGACTATCCACCATCTGTTGGTGACTGGGAGAGGAGTGGCCATTCATTCCACCCACCATCCCTCTGCAGGCAGCAAAGAGGCCTGGGGGCTGGCAGCCAATGTCAGACTGGCATCATGAAAAGTGGGAGAGGGGAGATGTGTGGACACTGATGGGGCCTCCTACAGCCTGCACTTGGGTTCCTTTGTGAGGCCAGCATGACCCTGATCATGAAATGAGGCAGAGATGGAACATGTAAGGAAGGTGACAAGCCTGGTGCAGATATAGATGCAAAGAAGAAAAAAAAAAATCCAAAGAATAGCAAATGCAATCCAACAATATACAAAGTATAGAACACTCCTGTGCAAGTATAAGTTCCTGGAGGCAGATCCTCAGCTGGAAGCTGGGGGGTATGGTGGGGTGGGAGAGGAGCTGAATCAAGAGGTGCTCTCAGCGGGGGCAGGGGTGCCTGGAGCCTGAACTGCACACACAATGAGCTTGATCTTTAGCCTGGGGGCCAGGTTTTGTACCCTGGGGAGGGGGCTGTAACCCCGAGGCATCTGCAGTCGCAGCTAGGGAGGACCTGGGGCCCACAGGGTCCTTCAGTCCACCCCTCTGACCACTTACCTGCCATCCCAAGCTATGCTTCTCCTTGGCTCTAGTGGGCCACAACTTCTGGTAGAAACACAAGAGAAGGTTTGGCAGAATGAGCCACAAACCCTCACCCTGCAAGTGCTCCCAAGGCAGTAACTTGGTGATTCTCAGCTGGGGGCAATTTTGTCTCAGAGATGTTGGGCAATGTTATCTGGAGACACTTCCAGTTTCTGCCTAAACACATCAGCAGTCTCAAAATCCTTTGACATGTCATGCCCCTCACCCCTTAGCAGGCCCTGCTTGTCCCCAGCTGCTGGTGGCTTCTTCTAAAACAGTTTCCCCTTCCCCTAAAAAGAGGAGGCAGCCCTGTGCAGCCACCAACACCACCACCCCATGTCCTCATCCTTGAGAACTCTAACAAGGGAGGTGGAAGTGCTGAGTTACCGCTGAGCAGTGGGTTCAAGTCATTCATTCCATCACTCAACAGATACTGAGTGCTTACTGTATGCCAGGCCCTGATCCAGGAGCCAAGGTGACAGTATTGATCTAGAGAGATAAAAAGTCCCCACTCCTGGGAGTTTGGGGCGGCAACAATTGGCATGATAAATGTATAACATATTAGAGGGAGGTGAATGATGGGGGGAATGCAGCTGGGAGGTGAGGAGGCCAGGGCTGTAAAGTCAGGGTCAAAGGAAAGGCCTGTTTAAGGAAGTGACATTTGAGTAGAGACATGAAGAAGGGAAGGTGAAGGCATGAATCTTGTGGGAATCAGGGCAGGGGTGGTCCAGGCGGAGAGAAGAGCCTGTACAAAGGCCCAGAGCCAGGCCTGTGTCTGGCAGGACAGAGGAAGAACAGGGAGGACTGTATGGCTGGAGCTGAGTGAGCGAGGGGAAGAGAGGAGGTGAGTCTGGGGGTGGACCATGCTGGTACCCAGAAGGCTTTTTCTTGGGGACATAAGATTAGTCAAGGGGGAGGAAGGGAAGATTGAAGGTAATCATTAATGAACCCCCATCTTGCCAAGAAGTCTACATGGGCGTTGGGGACAGGGATCTCATAATTGCCTATATCACTGGCCAAGCTGTTTGAAGAATGTGGTGTTTGGCTTTGGTCTGGGGTCAGGGGATGGCAGTGCTGGCCTCACTCTGCACCTGGCACCCACCACACCCCGCCACCCCCGGGGAGAAGAAAAACAGGTGCTCAAAGGTATCCCTGGCCCAGCCCTGGTCAGCTCATCAGGGAGCACAAGTGGGGAAGGCACATACCTGTCTTCCCGTGTGGAAATATTGACCTTTAGTCCCTCAGACTTGGATTAATTTGAACATACAGAATAGTGTAACCAGTGACTCAGAGATAGTAGGGCGACAGGGCCAGCCCCTCCCAGTCACTCCCCAGACCCAGCAGTGCCTTCCATCCTTTCCTGCCCGATTCAGAGCTGTGGTGGTCAGACTCAGCCCACTGTGAGAATTGCCTGCCGGTAGTTTGCTGTTTTTCATCGGTGGATAGCGTGCCATTCAGTGGGTAGGCCAGAGTTTACTTGCCCCATTCCGTTGCTGATGGGCATTTGAGTAGTTTCCTGTTTGGGGTTAGTGTGATTAAAGCTGCTAGGAATATTCTAGAACTGGCCTTTGGCGAGCACAGCTTTCATTTCTCTGGGGTATAGACCTGTCAGAGATTGGAGAGTAGGATGACCATAACACATTACCACATATTGGAGGGGGGAGCTTAAAAAAACAAAGATTTAGTCTCTCCCATTCCGAAGGCCAGAGTCAGTTACAGGGCCGCACTCCCTCCTGAGATTCCAGCAGAGGGTCCTTCCTATCTGTTAGGGCTTCTGGGGGCTCCAGACCCCCTTGGCTTGTGGCCTTATCACTCCAGTTTCTGCCTCCATTGGCACTCCCATGGCCATCTTCTCTGTCTCTCCACTGCACGTCTCTTACGAGGGCGCTTGTTACTGGTTTTAGTACCCTCCCAGATAATCCAGAATGATCTCATCTTGAGACCCTTAATCACATCTGCAAAGACCCTTTCTCCAAATAAGATCCCATTCACAGGTTCTGGGGGTTGGGACATGGACGTATCTATTTAACTCACTATCGTGATTTGCATTTATCTATAGCAGACACGGCCAAACTGTTTTCCAAAGCGGTCTGCCAACCTCACCTGCACACCCGCACCTAACCCTGTAGGCTGTCACAGTCCAGGGCCTTCTGCAGGCCTTTGAGTAGACATGTGTCTTCCTGTGGGTCAGCTGGCTGGTATAGGGTCAGTGAGAGAAGGACAGACAACAGGGTGGTGCCCTCTGCAGAGAATTAGAAACGAAAAGCATGAGTGACCCCCAGAGCTGGTGTTTGAAAATATTGTTGAAAACAATTTTTTGTGGGGCTAATGAAATAATTATAATTTTTTTTTTACTAATATGGGTGCACGTTTCAAATGTGCCCGTTTTAATTCTTTCTCTTTTAATAAACATCGCCATTTGTGGGAAGTCAGCTTGGAGAATTCCCAGGTTCTGGACAAGCAAGGACACATGCCCCATGTGTTTCCTTCAAGAGGAAGTCTCTGCCAGTAGCCATTTGTGGTCACTTTCCCCATGTGTGAATCTCTAACCCAGATGGGCACGGTGCATCCCTGAGGGGACACAGTAACTAATAAAAAAGAGCCAGGGGACTGTAAAGAGGGAAAAACACAAGTCACTTTCTATCATTCTGTGTAGCCCCCTGGAGTTATTAGTGTTTCCATGTAAAACAGTGAAACAGTGTGACATTTTTGCTTGGCAAGTGCAAATGGTAGTTCTGCCCTGAACCACAAAGTTGCTGAATTTTTAGAATGCATCTTTAAATGCATTCTAAAGAAGCATCTTTAGAATGGTTAGATTGTTTTAAAGCTAAAAAACAAACCAAAACAATGTGATGTTTGCTGGGAGTATGTTACAAGATCATTACCAGAAACAATGAATATTGGTGAGGACTGTAAAGGGGAAGTCACTGCTCAGGTGGCCACAGGCCATCCTGCCTGTCGAAGACGGTTCTGTGCTGGCCCTTCTCTGGAGCAAGTGCCTCATGCCAGTGGGTCTAGATGATTTGGGAGTCGGAGCTCTGGGGATGAGAGGGCCCCAGACTCATTCCCAGACATACCCACACGCTGCAGGGAGGCAGAGGGGACAACTTTGGCTTAATGGCAGGAGGAATGGAGCCATAGGTGGGTGCTGGTGTAAGGAGGCTGGTGGATGGAGAGAGGCATTCCTGAGGGTGGAGAGCAGGACCGATAAAATGGCATTGGTCTGGTTAAGATAGCATAAAGTATGTAAAACAAAATGGAGTCACTCATGTCAACCAAGATGGCTGACTGGTAGCCAACACTTTGGTTCAAGAGGGAAACTACCTAAGTCATGCTAGACACATCTGGCAAGAAGACACACCCAAGATATCTGCACATGTGATTAGAAGAGCCACGTCTGCAGAGTGGAACCACCCACAGATAGGCTCCTGGGGAAATTCCACACTTGCCATCAGGGGTGCCAAGACATTTATCAAAAAGACCCAGAGGGGTGGAGTACACCATTTTCAAGGTATAACAGAGGCAGTTTCCAGACCACTGCTGAGACAGCCAAGCTTCACACACCAGAGTGCTGCTCCATACTGATCTCCCTTGGCATCAGCTGCCAGAGGCTCTCCCCTGCCAGATGAAGGACTTTGTCTGCCTTGCCACCCACCTGGCTCCAGAAATCCTTCCTTGCAAGAGGCTGACAACTCCCTGGCCCACCATGCTGTCTCCTGGACCTGTAGACTGAGACTCTGGGGCCTCGGGCTCATTATCCCCCATTGATTGCTGTGTGTGTGTTATAATTCTCTTAGATTGTTAGTGTGAGTAGGATATTAATGTATGTTGATGTTCTACTTTGAGTGAACCTGTATTCAATAAAAGCTGAGTGAATAACATAGTTACTCTGTGTGACTCTTGTCTATTGCTTGGCGCCCGGCAGCTCAGCAGACAGCTAGCCAAGCAGTCACCTGACTAACATAGGAAAGACTATCACGAACATACACTCTTGACACTGAGGAAGGCAAGCGCAGATGAGCAAAGGGGTTGTAGAGGAGGTACAAACCGTCTGCAGGTAACCCGGCGCCTTAACCATCGTTTCCCCATTCTGCCACCAGGGGGCACCCAAGCCCCGCACGTCCCTCCAGAACTACACCCCACTTTGCCTGCAGGAGTTGGGGTTCCGAGGATTCTCCAGCTTAGGCACTTGTTGCAGATGACAGAGTCAGGCCTGGGAGGTGCAGGCACTGCTGAACCCCTGGCATACTGTAGGTGCTCAATAAAGACCCACTGTAGCAATGCATGAATGAATGGAGGGGCTGGAGAAGGAATCCAGAGTAGTGTGATTCCCATGGTCAGAGGGCTACAAGGGTACTTGCAGATGGAAAATTAAGGCTCAGAGAGGGTAAGGGCCTGGCCTAAGGTCACCACAAGATCAGGGGCTGAGCCCCTCCACTTGAGACCTGCACACTGTGTGCCCCTTGCCCACTGCCAGCACCTGCACTCCAGGGAAAACCACGGCCACATGGTACAGAAGAGCAAGATTGTCCCCAGACGACAGTGAGCCTTCCTATCCAGAGTGGGGAGGCAGAAGGCAGCCTCCCAGGGTCCCCTCATGGGGAGTTTGCTGGGCCACCGCACAGACACCCTTAATTCTCACACCACCCCGGTCTGCTCTCTTGCTCCAGAAGAATGAGGAGAATCTATCCAGGACGTCACATGAAGATGGGGATAGGCTGAAGGCAGGGCTCTGCCTGCCTCCTCTGCTGGGGAGGGGTCCCCTGGGTGACCTGAGATGAATGTGTGGCCCCCAAGGAGGCACGGAGAAGGTGCTTGGGGCCTATAAAAGCCACATTTACCCTCCACTTGTCCCCCATCTTCATATATTCCATGTCCTCATCTCCCACACAGGGTCAGGCATGCTGAAGGGAGGCAGGGGATGGACCACGAGGAAGGGATGGAGTTTGAGAGGTCACACATGTGCATGCTGTAAGAGCACAGTTGGGGAATGGGACTACCAGTGCTTCTCCTCACCTTCGTGGCCATGTATGTGTAAGTGGGGTGCCCTTGTTAAAAAAAGGAGTGCTTGTAAAAATTAAATAAAAATATAAAAGGGTTGAACAGCAGCGTGGCCTAGAGGAAACCCAGCCAGAACTGCTGAGGCTGTCAAGATCATCTCTTAATAAATAGTCATGGGCATATAAAGTAAAGCATAGGGAATATAGTCAATAATATTGTGATAACTATGTATGGTGCCAGTTGAGTACTGGAAATACGGATAGGAACACTTTATAAAGTATGTGATGTCTAACCACTAAGCTGTGCACCTGAAATCAATACAAAATAAAATTGAAAGAAAAAAAATAGGTTATCTTTGAACTTCCTGGTACTCAGCACATAGGGGGAAATTAGTACAGTACAGTGCCCGGTTAGGCATGTCTTCCAGGGGGCATGTCTGTGACAATGTCTCGGAGCATATTAGCGTGTGTGGGCAAATGGCAGTGAGGAGAGAGAGTAGAGTGTCAGGGAGTTATACAGTGATGACTTTCCTGGCAGACAAAGCAAGGAGGGAAGCTGGTACATCACAGTGTCTGCTTAGGCATGTCTTCTGGGCCCTGCTTGCTTATGAGAGCTTCTCTAAGCAAATGAATGTGAGGCAAGGGGAATAAAAGCAGACATAAAGTTCTTGAGTATAAGATAGCTATGAGTTTCCTGAAAGCCATGATGAGAGAGGAAATAAGAGTTAAAGAAGCAACTCAATGTGTTTTCATCATTGTCTGCCTACTCACAACAGTGGATCTAACTGCATGTGAAGGTGTATAAGTATATATGATGGAGAGTCACAGAGTTGTGGTGGGAGATATTTCTGAGCTCCCTGGAAGCCAGGGAAAGAGGGGAAATAAGCTGAGTTTGAGCCTGGCCAGGTACAACTTCCTTGCTGTGTGTGGTGAGACCTTGTCTAGCGGCTCAGACAGGGCAGTGTCTAGCAGCCAGGCGTACACGGCTGTCCTCGGCGGGGCTCCAGGGCCGGGCATAGCCTGCGTGGGGCAGCAGCAGCCGGTCCTGAGTGCCATCGGGACTGACGAGGCGCTGGGCAGCCAGCAGGTACTCTCGATGGAGGGACATTGGTGGGCAGGGGCAGCGACCTGGTGCCCATACATACTCAAGGGCCTGCAGTGGTGAGCGGTTCTTGTAGACAAGTTGCACATGCACCTCATAGCGGGTCTCCTGGGCCTGGTGGAGGTGGCCCAGCACTCGAGCTCGGAACACTGTGGGCAGAATGGTGCTAAGGCCAATTGGATGGGCCAGCCTAAACACCCATCCATGCACCCCATTGCCATATGAGGGAACTGGAGGTCAGGTGGGACATGGGGGCCCCGTAGAGACTGTGGAGAGGGTACTGGGGTCAGGATCAATAAGGACTTAGAGGTCAAATTAGAGCAATGAGTCAGATCAAGGAGTCAAATTAGGGCCAGAAAAAGGGGTCAAGTTGGAGTCAGGTCAAGGAGTCAAGGGTAAAGTCAAATCAGGGTCAGATGTGGGCAGGAAAGGAGCCAAGTGCAGTTCAGTTAGGGGCCAGGTGAGGGTTGGGGAAAGAGTCTCTCACCAAAGTCACTGCCGCAATAGTGGAGCAACCGGTGGGCACGACCGCGGGTGTCGGGACAGGTTGGGCAGGGATCTGTGAGATGGAGCATTAGGGCACAAGCCTCACCTCCCTGCTTGCCCCCATCCTGGTTGTGGTTGTTCCCCCCTCACCTGGGGTGGGGTTTGGGGTCCGTGTGGGGAAAGCCGGGGCTTCGTTGGGCTCAGAAGACTGGGGTTCCACCTCCAGAGGCTGTGGCTGCCTCAGGGACAAGCTCAGGGCCTGTGTCTGCTCCTGGAAGGGGCCATAGAGTTCCCGAGGGAGCCAGAACTCGAACTCAATGCCGGGATTGGGCTCCTGCAGGAGGACCTGCGGGGAGGGTCAGGTGCTAAGGAGTGGAAATAGGAACTGATAGCCCATCCTCCCTGCTCTGGCTCTCCACTCCTGCCTTGCCCCTCTGTTTCTCTACCCTAGTCTCCCTCCTCTGACTGTCTGCCCTAGCCTGGCCCCTCTGACCTTCTCTAATTCAGTCTCATTCCTCTGACCCTCTGTTCCTAGCTTCCCCACTCTCTCTCCAGCCTCCCCAGCTCTGCCCCTAGTCTCCCCTAAATCCTTTAATCCCCACCACCACCACCACGTACCCAGCCGCCCCCTGAAGGCCAGGCACGCACCTGCAGAAGCAGGTCTTGGGTGGTGGGTCCCGCCGCACGCAGCGTCTCCTCTGGCCCTGTGGCGCGGGTGTAGACCACATGGGTGCCTGCCACGTCGTAGGTCCCGGGTGGGCTGATCTCCCACTTGCCGTTGAGCACGTAGCGCCCGTCGCCCCCAATCAGCGCTGCAAGGGAAGGGTCAACCCGGGCTCTCCGGAACCCGCCCCTCCCGCCTCCTGACCCTTGAGTCCCGCTCCTCCGGCCTCAGTCTTCCCGCTGCACCCGGACAGCCAGCAGGGCGCCTCCCCGCTCCCCCTCGGATTCTGCGATACCCAAGTAGTTGCGGCTCCGATGGGCGGCGTAGATGTGTCTGGCGCCCTCTGGGATCAGGGTCACATTCCAGTACCCGGCATAGGCTCCTGGGCAGGAGGAAAAGGGTGTTGTAGTGCAGACGGGGTGTATGAAGGATGCTTTGAGAATTAAATGAGATGCTACAACTTAGGAGGTTAGTCTTGGTCCTGGTATCCCCAAAACACTCCGTAAACGTTTGGAGTTAACGATTATTATCGATTTAGTGAAGCAGTTAGAATCACATCGATTCTGGTCAGGGCGGGGCAATCTCGCATTGACCAATCAGAATGAAGAAAAAGGGCAGGGCCGCAGACTGCCCAATCAGTACGGAACTTTACTTCCGTGCCCACAGGTTCTTAAAGAGCCCGCTGTGCTAGAGTAGAGAGGACGGGGTTAGTGGTCACCGGCGTCACGAAACACGCGCTGCACGAAGAGGCACGAGTCGTTGGCGCCGCCACAGCGTCCACAGTGGTCCTCGCGGGCGTCTGAACCCATCAAACCATCACAGCCGGCACTCTAAAGGAGTGAGGAGGACACACGTCACAGAGAGCCCCCTGCCCTACTCGGTGCCTCGGCCTGTTGGTGGGGGGCAGAGCTCTGAGAACTAGGAGGAGGAGCCTAGAGACAATGGTGGAGCCTGAAATAAAAGAAAGGAATCTGAGAGTAAATGGCTGGGCCCAGAGGTAGAAGTCTGAGGTGGGGCCTAAGGAAGAGCACTGCCTGTGGAAGGTGGAGGGACTAAGGAACAAAAGGAGTGGGGCCTGGGCGGGACCTGAGAGTAAAAGGACGGGCATTGGCGGGAAGCTTGGGGAGGAGCCTATGGGGGGGCAGGGCCCTTCGGGGACAGCGCTAGGAGGGAGGACTAGATCTAGAACTAAATAAATGAGCTTTGAGGGCGGAGCCTCAATGGGAGGTGGGCGGGGCCTGGAGAGTCCTTACTAGGCAGCGTCCCCCAACGCAGAGTCCCTGGCTACCCGGGCTGCAGGGAGTGCCATCCAGGACGCGGCCAAAGCTATGGTAGAAGGCATGCCCCAGGGCCAGGCAGTTGAGGTCACACTGGTTGGGCGCTGGGGGCAGAAGGAGAGGGTAAACCAGGGGTCTTCTATCCCAGTTACAGCCCTCTTCCTTCTAGGCTCCCCCAGAAATCCATCCTCTTGAGCAGTTAAGGCCCAGAGTCTCAGCCAATACTACACATCAAGGTTGAAGCAGAGCCAGGACTGAACTTAGGCATTCTGCCTCCAGCTTCCTGGGACTCTCCCATGCAAGTATCTTGGACCTTCATGCATGCATGCATGTGTGCATGCATTCATTCATTCCTTCCTCAAATACTCACTGAACACCTACTATTTTCCAGACACGTTTCTAGGCTCAGCGTTGAGCAGAACTGCACCCAGTAGGTGCCCCATAAAAAGTGTTTGTTCAGTGCTGACTGGGTCGCACATAGCCCGGGTGTATCTTTGGCCTTCCCTAGTACTCAGTTTCCCCCTCTACCTGGCAGGGGGGACAATGGGCAGTCCACTCTCAAATGTGGGCTCATAATCCTGACTCCTGCTCCTTCCACTCAATCTCCCACCTTCCTGAGTTTGGCTGACCCTGCCTGGAATGGAGGCTGAGCTGGCCCTGGTGGGCCAATTCTTAAAGCAAAGGAAAAAAAAAAATACCCATGAGGTTACAGATGGACCTTTCTCCATTCTAAGCTTTTCTTATCTGTGTCTGCCCCCATCGTGGCATCTAAAGCTGCCTGTCTTAAACCTGGAGGCACACTGCCTCAGGCACACAGTTATATAACTTGCTATTTTCAGCTCAATACAGGCTACATTTCCTGCCACCGGCATAAGTTTGAGAACTGTTGGCCTCTGGATATGGCTCTAAGTAAATCTGCAGCCTGGTGTTCAACCCTGTGCAGAACAGACCCTGCCTCCCTCTGCCTCTGCTTTACACCTCACCTGTGCTTCCCCCCTTCACTTCACCAACTTATATTTATCCTTCAAAGCCTAAGTGCCGATGCTTACTCTCCTTACTACCCTCCAAGTCCCCTTTCCTTCCTAGCAGCCATTTCTCCCTGCCAGCTCTGAGTTGTTCCCCCTGGACCAACAGGAGGGCAGGCTACTCACCGCCATAGAAGGGTACCCATTGGTAAGTCTTCTGGAGGCTGAGGACAGGCTGGCCATTGTAGAGGGCACACTGGATGTCTCGGAAGGCCATGGCCCCTGGGGGACAGTCCTGGGGACATGGATGGGTGGGTCAGAGTCTGGGACAGCCTCGGGGAAGCCCAGGGAAGCTGGCAGGGTGGCAAACATATCTGAGGCCATGAGTGGGGAAGCAGAAGGCTTTAAGACAGACTCAAGGGTATGGGACATGGACAGAGCTTACTGGCAACTGGCAGAGGCGGTACTCATGGGTGTCCCCCCAGCACAGCTCCTCCCTGGGAAACCTATGAGGAGCAGGGTGGCCAGAGTATGGTCAGGTCCCCTAGTAACCCCCTCCCCAGAGCCCGCCTGCACACCCTCCACACATACACTCCCCACCCCCCAACCCTACCCACATTCCAGGTGGATCAGTGGGATTAAAAGGCACAGCAAGTGTGGGCAGGTGAAGGGTGTGGTCAGGGGCTAGGCCTGGCTGGCAGGGGAGGAGGGGCAGGAACCCCTTCGAACATGCTCAGACACTGTATCCTGCTCACCGGATGCAGCGCCGGCTGCGTACGGAGAGCCCCCGCCCACAGGAGCTGGAACAGCGGCTCCAGGAACCCCATAGTGTCCACTCTCCCGGCCCCTACTTGGAGAGAGAGAAGCATGGTCAGCCTGAAAGGGAGGCTGGCAACCCCCACATGGCTTCTGGGTCCCCATGCCCAGTGTCCTCTGGGCTCATGTCTTCCCTTACCTGAGCACTGCTCCCCAAACCACAGTTCAGGAGGGTCCACAGCAGGAGCAGGAGTTTCCATAGGGGGAGGGGTCTGGGGAAGCATAGGATGGTGCTGCAGTAAAGGCTCAGCAGGCCAGGGGCTGAACCCCAGCTCTGCCCTGACTGTGAGATTTGGGGCAGTAACTTAATCTGTCCGGGCCTCCCTTCTCATCTCTGAAAAATACAGCCCCCTCAGAGGAAAGTTTTGAGGAGTCCTTCAGATCAGGTAAGAAAAATAGGAGGCACAGAGCCTGGAATGGAGATGAAGAGCTCAAAGAATATTATTATTGTTATTATTATATTATTATCATTATCATTATTATTGGTTATTGTCTTGTGATGCACACAATAGGTGCTTAATCAGTGTCTAATGACAGAACAAATCATTCCAGGACAGTGTACAAGTGTCTCCAGGGTCAGGGCCCCTCACCGCTCTCTCCACCATCATTGCTTCTACCTTCCTGTGTGGCCAGGGGCCAGCCACTCCGCTTCCCCAGGCCTCAGTTGCCCCATCTGTGCAGTGGGAATCATCTGGGGTCAGTCCAGGACACTGAGACCTTGCAGAGGGTGCAGCCAATGGGGGCTGGGTCAGGGACCGGGTCCCTCCAGGGCCCTCTCTGCTCCCAGACCCTTGGCAGCAGGGAATCCCTGGACTGGGGAGGGGCAAGGAGGGGTGACCTGACCCTAGGCCAGCCGGTGCCTCATGGCCTCATGAGCAGGGGGTATGGAATGGAGCACCAGGATGGTCTGTGAAGGGAAGGGGACCCCTGATGAGGATGATGCAGAAAAGAGGGAGACAGTTTGGGCTGGCAACTTTGCCTTACACGGGCCTCAGTTTTCCCATCTGTAAGGAGAAAAATAGAGCCACTTGCCATCCACACCCTCTGCATGACCATGACATTGGCAGAGAAAGGAGGAGGGAAGTGTCAACCTTGAGTCCTTACTTGGGCCACAGCCAGGGAGCCCAGCAGTCAGCAGTACCAAAAGGACATGCAGGACAAGCTCCTGGGCACTGGGTGGGGGGAGGCTGGGCCCTGCCGGACCCATGGCCCTTCCTGAGCCTCATTTTCCCTGTATCTCAGGTTGTCCTGGCTCTGACACTTGGACCTGGGGCACCAGGGGTCTGGTGCTGAGGTGGCTGCAGGTGCTGAAAACCTGGAAGACCACCAGCTGGGGGTTCCTCTTTCTGACCAGAGCTGTGTTGCCAGGTGCATTTCAGACCCTCTCTGAAGCCAGGGTCCTGGCTGGCCCATGAAGCAGGAATTTGGAGGGAAGAGCAAAGATGCGGGAAGAAGGGTTGGCCTTCTGACACCCCCTCCTGACTCAGCCCTGGCTATGAGGTGGGAATCTAGGTGATGGAAAATAAGGGGCTAGAGCACAGGTGGCAAACACAAGGCCTGCAGGCCGAGTCTGGCCCTCCACCTTGTTTTATCTGGCCTAACACCTTGTTTCTACCCGGGGCAGCGCCAAGCTCTTGCTCCTAATTAAGGAGTAGTTACATTTATACAGTCCTAAAATTACATTGCGCGCTTTGAAGGCAACCGCCAGGCTGATGTGGCTCCCGGTGAAAATGAGTTTGACGCCCCTGGGCTAGAAGGACCACCATCCCACTCCCGAGAGCCCCCTTCTGAAAGAGCAGGACACTCACACCGGGTTTTGGTTGAACTTCTGACTGTGGGTGTGATCGCAGGGTAAGCCACGCCCCTGGGCCTCAGTCTCCCCGGGAGGAAGAGGGGATGAGCTTTTTCTCCTCCTGGGGGATTGCTGCCTCACCGTCCCCCTGCCCCCACCCTTCCACAGCCCTACTGGACCCAGGGAGGAGGAGCAGACATGGCCTCAGATAGTGGGTGAATAGGAAAAGGGGCTTACCGGCGACTTAGAGCTCTGGCGGTGCGACCCGGCTCTCTGGTCGGCCCCAGGGCGAGACGAAGCTGCGGTGCCCGTGGGGAGGGGCGGGGGGATCCCAGGGAGGCTCCTTCCACCCGGCCTCCCAGGGCGCGCCCAGGTCGGGGTCCAGAGAGGCAGCGGCCCCTTGCGCCCTCGCGCGGCCGTGGAGCGCTTCCGAGAGGATCTGCCGCAGGGGACTGCTTCGCGCGGATCCCGGCACCCCAGAACTGCGGTCTGGTGTCTGAGAGTCCATGTCCCGGTGACCTTGGGAAGCCCAGGGCGGGAGAACGGCGAGGGGACTGGCTGTCTTTAACCCCACCCCGGGGCTGCTATTCCGGGCGCCTCGCTCAGGGCCGGGGAATGTTAGAGAACCGAGGTCGTCCTGCCCCGGTTCCGGGAGTCCGGGGCGCTGCTCCCTGTCCACTAACGTCCAGATCGTGTCCCCGCGAGGGTCTCCTTTCCCAGCCACTATCCCCTTCTCTGGTCCTTCCCTCAGGGTCAGCCTACTCAGAGACCTGCGCGCCTGAGTTCCGATCCTGGGGTTTCCGCTTCAGGTCCCGGCCACCCCAAGCACAGGGCCCCCAGCGCACTGGGGAAACGCTCAGCCCCAGGAGTTGGGCGTAAGGGGCGGAGAGCCCACTCCCGGCCAGCGCATTTCCGGGCGCCGCTGTCACCAGAGGACGCGCCCCACCCCGCCTCCTGCCCTCCCTGCCAGGCCCCCGGACTGTGAGCGGCTTTGGAGCCAGACCCGAGTCCAGAGGTCTCAATTCTGCGTGGCCATGGCCCCACCCTCTCCTACCTCAATTTCCCCAATTGGGCAAGGGGGCCACCGCGACTCTTCAGCCAGACTTCAGCTCTTTGCGCGGACTGGCGAGATCAGGGTTACCCCAGGGCTCTCACCACCGAACCCTTTCCAGCCAGCCGCCGCCCAGTCCCCCGCCTACACGGGGACGCAGCAGGCGTCCTCTGCTCTCTCCTCCCTCACTGTCACCTAAGGTGCTCCCTGGCAGGCAGGTTGAGGAGATGGAGCACCAAGAAGGCAATGGGTGGACTGCTCCTCAGCCGGGCTCAGCTTGAGTGCCACCTCCTCCTGGAAGCCTACCATGGGTCTCCAGCCCTGACCACAGGGAGTGAGAGGTTGCTGGACCGGATCTGTCTGCACTCCAGCCTAGAGCAGCTCAGAACAGAGCCACCCAGTGCCATTTATTTCTTCAACGTTTATTGAGAACTTATTACAAATATGTGCCAATACAGTGGTGAAACACTCAGCCAATCAGGCTAGTGAGGGAAGGAGGCAGCTCCTGGGCAGGTATAACGTCACCTTGTGATCAGGTGCTCAGAGGAAACAGCCCAGGCCCACTGCGGATGGGAGAAACATCAGGGAGGCCCTCAGTGAGGAGATGATCACCACAGAAGGTGGTGGGAAGGGCAGCCCAGGCAGAGGACACAGCAAGTACAAAGGTCCTGAGGCTGGACTAAGAGAGTATAAAGAGTCAGGGGATGGAGTAGGTGGAGCAAGTGGCCTGAGTCAGGCAGGGATGAGGACAGAGGCGGGGAAGGAGCCAAGGAAGGTGGAAGAGGGTGCTCTAGCTTCGGAAAAGCCCTCCTTGGCTGCTGTGGGGGCAGGCATGGGGCCGAGCAGGCAGTGAGAGGCAGCATCGGGTGTTCTGGGCAGGGGCTAAACTGGAGTTTGGGTGGAAGTGAGAGCAGGGGGCGCCTCCTAGCTGTTTGGGAGTGGAGTCTGCCGGAGTTGTTGATGGATCCCTCGGGGGAAGTGCTGGGAAGACCGTGAGGCAGGAACTTGGCCTGAGTGTCTGGTGAAGGGAGGTGCCTCACTTACTGAGGGGGCAGGCTGGTGGGGGAGGGTGTGTTCAGCAGTCATTTCTGAACCACTGTAGGGTGAGACGTCTGTGGGTCCCCAGAAGAGGCCGGGAGTCCAAGGGGTCGTGTCTAGGTAGAGGTGGATATGTGGGTGTCCTCGGCACATGGGGGTGTTCAGTGTCATGGATGAGGTCACAGGGCATGAGTGTGGGCAGAAAAGGGCAGAGGGAGAAAAGATGGGTGTAGAGTGCCAGAGATTACACAGGGCTTCTGCGAGGAGGGAGGTATGGCCTGTGTGGGCAAGATGAGGATGTGGACCAGTGGCCCAAAGGATTATCATTGATGGAGGCAGTCATGACCTTGATGAGGTTAAGCCTGCTGGAGAGAGGATGGCAGGGGAGGGAGGGGGGATGGAGAAAGCAGGCATCCTCTTCTGAGCACTGATTACTTACAAAGCTATGGACTGGGGCCTGGTGGGTCATCAGAAATAAATCAGGCCTGGTCCAGGGATGTCACAAAGTGGACAATTGCATACCCCCCTAGAGGTGCCTCATTCCCCAAACACCAGCCACAGTGCCATGCAGGTGTGCATGCAGCAGGCATTGTGTCCTGCAAAAAGTGCATATAGTAGGCACTATGTCCTGCATGGAGCATTATAGCAGGTGTTATTCAGCAGGCACCACATCCTATAGAAATGTACACAGCACCCTGGCTGGTGTGGTTCGGTGGGTTGTGCTCTGGCCTGTGAACCACAGGGTCGCCGGTTCGATTCCCAGTCAGTGCACATGCCTGGGTTGCATGTCAGGTCCCCAGTTGGGGGTGTGTGAGAGGCAACCACACATTGATGTTTCTCTCCCTCTCTTTCTCTCTCCCTAAAAATAAATAAATAAAATATTAAAAAAAGAGAAACATACACAGCATATATTTTGCCCTGCAGGGAGTGTATACTGTAGGTACTGCGCCCTGCAGGGAGTAGACTCTGAGCCTTCCAAGGATTGCCTACAACAGTCACCGTATCCTGTAAAGAAGAGTGCATACAGAAATCATCGCACATGTAAGGAGAGTTCACAGAAGGTACTTTCTGCAGGCAACATCTGGAGCAGGCATTGTACTCTATCTGTAACAAGTGTATGCAGCAGGCACTGAGTCCTGTAGAAAGTGAATACAGCAGGCACTGCATCCTTCATGGGGGCCCTAGCACTTGTGGAATCACCAGGCTGGGATGGGGTGAAGGTGTGGGGTCCTAGGCCCACCACCAGTCTTTGTCTTCCAGTCTCCACCTCTCTCCTCTGAACATAACTCAGCTGGATTCAGTAGATTCCCAGAGGATAAGGCCTTGGGCTTGGCTCAAAATACCCGGTGCAGGTAGAGAGGGTGGTTGTGAGGTTCAGAGGCTCCAGGTCCAGTGGCAGCTCAGTTCCCAACCCTGTGCCCAAGCCTGGACCCTGGCTAAGGGTCAGCTGGATTCCCCCTGTCCTGAGCTCCAGCCCAGAACCCATCCTGGAGGCAGGCCAGGATGGGATCAGGAGAGTGCTTGCGGGTCATGGCATAGGTGGGTCAACTGGACTCCTGCTCCTTCTGACGTCTGTGGTCTTGTGGCCTCCCTGGGGGTTAGGAAATGTCTCTGAGCAGATCCAACGGTCTCCTCATACCCCCTCCTCCAATTCCCTGTGCCACTTATGATCCCTGGGTCCTGGCCATGTGGTCCCAGGACACTTCAGCCTTCTGAGTTGACTAAATGGAAGGGGTCCTGCCACTCCTGCCCCATAATCCAAGGTCTATGGAGCTGCCCAGATGTGCTTGAGCCTGTGTATGGATGGAACAGGACTGCAACCTACCATGGCCAGGGTCACCCACGTGAGCTGTGATTGCCACCTGGGAAGAGCCACCCTAAGCACATAAGAGGCAGGAAACAGAAAAATCCAGATTTCTGAGACAGTTGTTTGAGTTGCTGGATTGGCCCATACTTGAAGCCACAAACCCAGTATTTTTCACTTTAGCAACTTTGGGTTTCTGTGACTTCTAATCAAGAGGTCTCCACAAATGGGGGGTGTCCTTTCCATCACCCTCGTTCCACACAAGTCCTACTTGTCATGCCACTGACCCAGTGACCAAGCACTTCACCTACTGTGAGTTGCCACTGCCAAGGGGGCTGCCATATCTGATGTGGCACTCCTCACCCCTACTTTATGTGTCAGGACGCTGAGGTACAGAGGGGTGAAGCCACACTCAGTGAGACTCAGAGGTTCTGGAGCAGCTTTATACCCACATCCAAATGGGTGCTGTCAGCTCCTTTTGGGGATGGGGGGTAGGGGGACTTGCTTGAAGTGGGGATTCTCCAGGCAGAACCTGGAGGATGAGGGGGAAGTGGGTGGATGAGGGTACGAGGAAGAGGGTACGAGGAAGAGGGTGTTCTTGGCAAAGGAACAGCGTGTGCAAAGGAGAGGCCCAGGCACCAGGGAGGCCTCTGCGGCCGGAGTGCGGTGAGCAAGGACGGCTTAGAGGCTGGAGAGGGGCAGAGGCCTCACAGGGCTTGGAGGCTCAGAAGCACGGGAGCTTCTGAGAAGCATCAGAAGTGGCAAGTCATCCAAGGCATGCTGTTGGGCGGAAGATACTAGAAAAGTCATGCACAACGTGATGACATTTTTATAAAGGAAGTGTGCATGTTACCATAAACTCAGACAGCAAATTGAAGGATACACCCCCAGTGTTGACCACGATGATCTTGGGGTGGAGGTATGATTGACTTTGAGTTACTTACTGCCTTATAGGTTTTCCTTGAATTTCTTATCATGACCTCCTAATTCTTGTTCTTTTTTTTTAAATAAAATTTAAATTTTGGAATCATTTTAGATTTACAGAAAGTTGCAAAGACACTACAAAGTTTCTGTCTGCCCTCTGTTGTCAGAGTGTAATGTCCCTTCCCCAAAGGGACCTGTAGCTATGTCACCTCACATGGCAGAGAGGACCTTGCAGATGGATTAAGTTAATGACCCTGAGGTGGGAATGACCTTGGAGGACCAGAGAGGATGGTGCTTCTAGAAGGAGCCGACAACAGTGGATGCTTGGAGTCTGGGAGAGGCAAGGACAAGGTCTGATCCTGCACCAGTGGAAGCAAAGTTCCCCGCCCCTAATGCTGGCCAGTCTCAAAGCAACACCCTGCTGCAGTCATGGGGTTTCTGAAGCACAGACACAGGGTCCCCTCCTGCTGACTCTGATCACGAGGCCCTGTCCCCAGAGGCCAGCCTCATGAGTACAGACGTGAGGGAGTCCTCTGAGGGTTTAAGGCCAGGAGACCACAGAGGTACCTGGAGCCAGGGTGAGTCTCGGCCGCCTGAGTGCTCCCACCCTGGCACCTTCTGGGAGAGGAAGGCTGTGCTCAGGCTGGCCCCATGCCAAGCCCCTCGAGCCTCCCTAGGGAGACCTCCAGGAGACTGGCTGCCCAGTGCTGTCTCAGCAGCTGCCCCCTCACCTGCGGCAGGTATTTTGAGCAAAGCTTCCTGCACTTCTCCAGGGAAATCTGCTGAGTCTGGGGAGTTATTTCAGGTCATTACTGACAGAATGGAGGGGAAGTGAAGCTGTGGCCTGGGGTGCAGGGATTCGGGGGGGTGGGTGGCCAGGCCGAGGATACAGCCAGTGACCACCTACCCACCTAGCAGAACCCGGGCAGGGGTCAGCATGGGAGGTCAGGCAACCCCCTTTGTGATCTTATGACTAGCACCCAAACTGTGCCTCAGTTTGCTCATCTTTAAAATGGGGGCTTTAGTAAGTCCCCTGAGGTTCTGTTTTTTTGGGGGAGTAGAGTTGGGCCTCTAATATGTTTTCCTTTTTTATTGTGGCAAAATACATACAGCATAAAGTTTACCATTTTAAACATTTTTTTAAAGATTTTATTTATTTATTTATTTTTTTTAGGGAGGGAAGGGGGGAGAGAGAGAGAGAGAGAGAGAGAGAGAAACACCAATGTGTGGCTGCTGGGGGTTATGGCCTGCAACCCAGGAATGTACCCTGGCTGGGAATCCATTTTAAACATTTTTTAAAAAGTTTTATTTATTTTTAGAGAGAGGGGAAAGGAAAGAGAACAGGAAGACTAGGACCTGGCTTGCAAACCAGGCATGTGCCCTGACTGGGAATCGAACTGGTGACCCTTTGGTTCACAGCCCATGCTCAATCCACTGAGCTACACCAGCCAGGGCCATTTTAACCATTTTTAAGTGCACATCTCAGGGGCATTAAGTACATTCACATTGTTGTGTAACCATAACCACCATCCATCTCTGGAACTTTCTTATCTTCCCGAACTGACACTCTGTCTCCATCAAATGCTAGCTTCCTTTCCTCCCCTCCCCCAGCTCATTACCCACCATCTACCTCCTGTCTCTGAATTTGACTCCTACAGGGACCTCCTACGAGTGGAGTTACATGGTGTTTGTCCTTCTGTATCTGGCTGATTTCACTGAGCTCAGTGTCCTCAAAGTTCATCCATGTTGTAGCTAGCAGATGTCAGAGTTTCCTTCCTTTTTAAAGCTGAATAATATTCCAGTGTGTGGATGAGCCGCACTGTATCCGTTTATCCACACTGGGCGTTCAGGCTGTTTCCTTTTTGGCTGTTGTGAATTGCACTGCTGTGAACAGCTATGTTTTTGTTTTATTCTAGGTTTTCTCACTCTAGAGTTCTGGAAGAGGGATGTACCTGCTCAGTGAGGTGCAGGCTGGGAAGGGGAGATCTCCCCAGTGCCATGGTGGAGGTTTAGCCAGCAAAACCTAGTGGGCAGCCAAGAGTTGGGGTAGATTGGCGTCTGTGCAGAGGGGTCAGCTGACAGGCATGCTGTGTGGCACGTAGCCAGGAACTTCGGATTCTTTTACCCCCAAGAACCTTCCTGGGGTTCAGTGGTCCTCACCACCTGCTCCAGCGTGTGGGCTCTGCCTCCCCTGCCGGGTGTCTTGGGGGCTGGCTGGGCAGGATTCCGAAATCTGGTCTCTGGAAAATTCCTAGGCCTGATTCCAGCCTCATTGAGGCCTGCTAATCCCTCCCCATTCATTGTGTTATGTAACATTTGGGGATTAATCCCGAGGTGGCCAGAGGCTGTAGCCCAAATTCAAACACAGCACTGTCCCTTCCTGGCTGGGTAAGCAACCTAACCTCCTTGGGCCTCAGTGTACTCACCTGTAAAATGGGGACGGGCCACTTTCTGTATTTCCAGGTTGATGTAATGGTGAGATGGGAGAAGGCATGGGAAGTGCTTGGAACTGAAGTTGGGCCCGGAGCTCAGAGATGCCCTCACAGGGCCTGAGCCTGCCCACTTGTCTTCCCATCCGACTGCCTCTCCTTGTGAGCCTTTGCTGGGAATCATAAATCCCAGTGTGCATCCATTGGTCCCTAAATCCTGTCCCTTATCACTGTAAAGTGTCCTTCATAGATGGCACCTTCCAACAAGGAGCCATTCCCCTCTGGGTCCCTGCCCCCGGCCTCACTCCCCCTCCACACCAGCCTCAGCCCCAGAGATCCCGGACTTCTTTCTCAGCCTCTGAATCCTGCTGTGTCGCCCATTGCCCAGGTAGTCAAGCCCCATATGTCATGCGGGAGCCGGAGACTCACCTGCAGAAAAGATCTAGTCACAGACATTCAGAACTAGACCCATTCTCCAGCGCACTCGGGGGAGAGCCCACCAAACCCCAGCGCCACCCGCCTTTCCTGGGGAGGCCTCTGAAAGAATGAGAATTCCTTCAAGAGTCAGTTTCTGGCCCAGTGATTCAGTGCAACTGCGCATTGACAGTTCGCAGCTTGGCGGGAGGCACAGGATTGAAAGAGCCAGGTTGAGCGCAGTGGGTTGGCGCGCGGGGTGCAAACGCTGCTAGTGGGGCATCCACGCACCCCCACGCGCTCCCCACGCATCCGCCCCCTCCCGTTGCGGACCAGCCCCCAAGCTTCGGGACTCCGCCCTCCCCCCCTTTCCCCCTCAGCCAATGAGACGCGCCCCGGGCAGCGCTGCTCCCAGAGCTGCCGCACGGAACTGCGCTGCGCGGTGGTAGTGGGTGGTAGTGGGAGGCTGCGCCAGTGTCCGCGCCCTGCTCCCCGCAGGCCCCCGCCGGGAATGGAGCCCAGCTCCCGGCGGCGGGGCAGTTGCCGCCCGCTGGTCTCCCCTTTTCTGCGCGACCCGGCCTCGGGTCGCGTCTACAAGCGCGGGAAACTGATCGGCAAGGTGGGGACCCCAGCACTCCGACTTCGGGACAAGGGGCAAGGCCGGGCCAGGCGGAGGTCCCGGCAGGGCGGTGGTCCCGGCGGGTCAGGGCGGGTTGTGCACGTGCAATCCTGAGTGCAGTGGAGCCGGTGTGCGACCAGCTTGTTTGCGGGCCGTCCCCCTGGGCTTTATCTCTGCCTGTGTTGTGTGTCCGCACGAGTTTTGGGGTCTGGCGTTGGGCTGGGAGCCTGGTCTGTGGCGGGCCCGCTGTAGGCGTGCATTGTGTGGCAGGAACCAGTAATTGGCGGGCTATGTGTTGTCCAAGAGTTGTGTGTCCAGGAGTGTGGGTGTTCTACCACCGAGTGTGGCATGGGTATCCGTGCCTTTCTCTAAACCCTGTCATGTTGTCTCCAGGTGTGTGTGTGTGTATGTGTGTGCGTGAATGCGTTACACATCTCTCTGCTTTCTGTGCCTGGTATGGCTGTGTCTGTCTGAGTGGAAGTGTCCCTGTGTTTGTTCCCAGGCATTGCATTGTCTCCAGGTAAGAGGGTGTGGGCAGTGTATTTGTGTGTCTCAGGTGTGTGCCTGTGAAGCTGACTGGCCACCTGTCCACACACGTGTGCACACCTGTCCACTGAAGTTGTGAATCCCCTTCCTTAAGGGTGCCTTCAGCCGCTGCTATAAGCTGACCGACTTGTCTACAAGCAGCGTGTTTGCTCTCAAGGTGGTGCCGCGTCGTGGGGCCGGAGCTGGGGGTCTGCACCCCTGTGGGAAGGTAGGGTGCCCCTGTCAGTGCCCAGGGTCTCCATGCCCACAGCAGCTTCCCAGAGAGGGCCCTGTCTTTGAGGGCGGGGTGGATGCCCGTTGGCATGGCCACTGCATGCAGGGTGTGCACACAGAGGGCTGTGCCTGCAGGTGGAGCGAGAGATTGCCCTGCACAGCCGCCTGCGACACCGCAACATCGTGGCCTTCCATGGGCACTTTGCTGACCGTGACCACGTGTACATGGTGTTGGAGTACTGCAGCCGCCAGGTGCCCGGGGGGAGGGGCCGAGAGGGAGTCTGTACGACTCGGTGTCTGCTGTGCTCATCCGCATCTGCCCCTGTGTTCCGTCTGCACTTACCTGTTTCTGCCTGTGCCCAGACCGGGCCCCTCTGCGCTCATCCTAGGCTGTCTCACCTAGGCTCACCTGTGTACATTTGTGCCCAGTTAATTCTGTGGTCACCAGGCTTATTTCATACTCATCTGCGGTACCTGGGCCCACCTGAGCATCCCTGTGCTCACCTATGTCCCTCCTGCACTTTGCCATGCCTCCTGCTTGCACTCATCTTGCCCACTTCAGTACACTTGAGCTCATGTGTGTCTCCTTGGTGCTGGCGCTGTGGCCTGCGGGTCACCTGCAGTCTCTGGACCATGTGCTGGAGGCGCGGCGGACTCTGACAGAGCCTGAGGTACGCTACTACCTGCGGGGCCTGGTCAGCGGCCTGCGCTACCTGCACCAGCAGCATATCGTGCACCGAGACCTAAAGCTCAGTGAGTGCAGCAAGGGCGGCTGTGCGGGCCACGGGAGCTGGGACTTGGACCACCCCCCGACCCCGCTTATGCCCGTGACTCTTCCCACACCCCACCGGCAGGTAACTTTTTCCTGAAGAAGAACATGGAGGTGAAGATCGGGGACCTGGGGCTGGCTGCCAAGATGGGGCCAGGGGGCCGATGCCACAGGTAAGGAAGGAGGCTCGGAGCAGTCTCTTGGGGTGGGCACAGGTGAACCCAGGCTGGCATGCAGGCCCCAGTCTTCTTGAGCCACCCCACTGTCCCCTCCCAGAGTGCTCTGTGGGACTCCAAACTTCCTGGCCCCAGAGGTTGTCTCCAGGAACGGGCACTCCTGTCAGTCAGACATCTGGGCTTTGGGCTGCGTCACGTGAGTGGGGGCCTGGGGCCTCGCCGGGGGAGTGGGGCAGAGTTGCACAGGTGGTGCCAGGTATGAGCAAGAGGGAGTGTGCAAGGAGGTAAGGACGAGTATAAGTAAGTCCAGGGGAGGTTCAGTGGTGGCACAGGCACACGAGGGCATGTACATGACAGATGAGAACAGATGTGTGCAGATATGGGGCTGACAGGAGGAGCACCCACGAGCCATCATTCAAGCATGCAGGTATGATAGGGATATGGGGGGGTTATGTGCAAAGGAGGTCAGGGGTGAGTGTGCACAGATGTGTGCATAGGTGTGCAGGTATTAGGTGCAAGGGCAGATCAGGGCATATATTCAGGTATGAAGCACATACAAGAGTAGAGCAGGTGTGAGCATGCAAAAAGGAAAACTGGGCAGACACATTCAGACACATTATGTACAGGTATAAACAGGTGTCTACAGATGCTGATGTCTCCCGAGCAGACAGGAATGGCCAGGTGGGAGGGGATGAAGGGTAGGTATGGGAGCATGGATGGACGGGAAGCATGGACAGAGTAAGGCAGTGCAGGTAGGTATGACCAGGTGTGCACAGGTAGGTGTGAGCCAACTCTGGACCAGCCTAGGAAAAGTGCAAGCAGGCACCCAGGTTCTTGCCCCCCACCCCACCCAGGTACCTGGTTCTGACTGGCTCCCCTCCCTTCATGGCGGCTCCCCTGTCAGAGATGTATGAAAATATCCTAGCCAGCCGTTATCCTGAGCCTACCCACCTGTCACCCAATGCCTGTCGCCTCATTGCGCGCCTGCTGGCACCCAACCCAGCTGAGCGGCCCAGCCTGGACCACCTACTGCAGGACGACTTCTTCACACAGGTGTGTGGTATCCAGCGATGGTTGCCACCCTGGGGGCTGGATGCCTGGGTCCTCCTCTGGGGCATCTCAGCTGAGGCCCAGGTAGGGTGAGGACCCCCAGGTGGGGGGTCCTCAAGGCAATCTGAGTGGGGTGCTGACCCCCAATGCCCCACTCTGAAGGGCTTCACTCCAGACCGGCTGCCACCCCACTCCTGCCACAGCCCACCCATCTTTGCCATTCCCCAGCCTCTGGGCAGGCTTTTCCAGAAGGTGGGCCAGCTGCTGCTGAGCCAGTGCCAACTACCCTGTGAGTATCACCCGCCCACCCCTCGCCTGCTCCTACCTGCCCAATACCTGTTCTGCACCTCACACACTTGTCATGCTTCCCACCTGCATGGTAACTCACACCGTGGCAGAGGTGGGTATGGATGGCACGTGCCTCGCCCAACATGGGCCCAGGTTCTGCAGCCTCCAAAACCCTGTGCCTCTCTCAGGCCCCCATACTCCCAATGAGGCCTCGTGTCCAGGAGAAGATGGTTCAGACCCTGATTCCATGGAGTTGGGCATTGAGGTGAGGGCACGCATTGGGGGTAGGGACACAAGGAGGTCACTCTCACAGCAAGACTGAGCAGAGGGAGAAGACCCCACTTGGGTCTTCAGAGTGGGGAGGCTGGAGCCATTTGCTCCCCTCAGGCCTCCCCCCAGGGGCTGGGGTGCCCCTCACTCCTGCTGTTCCCTCCCCAGGCTCCCCTATTAGAGAGAGGGGCTCCCCAGCCTGAGGTCTCAGTCTACCTGCTCAACCAAGGGACCCTCCAGAGTGACCCAGCTGGTGAGCAGACTGTCTACCCTAGGTGGGGGCTGTCGGGGGGGTGAGGGTCCAGAGGCAGTGGACAAGACAGTGCCTTCCCAGGGTCACTGCCCCTGTCCTGGCTTCCATTTTCCCACCTGTAAAATGGGAGTGATTTCTGGATTCCTGGGTTGAAAATAAGATTTTTCCTGGATGCAGGAGTTTGGGGTGGGGCTGGTTAAAGGGGCCCCCTCATCATGGGGCCAAGGCCTGTCCCCTCTTTTCTTCTCTCCCTGACTCCACATAGATCTGTCTCCCCAGGGCCTGCGGGGAGCTCAGTGCAGGAGGTGGAAGAGGCCGTTAGAAACCTGCAGCTCTGCCTGGACCCTGGGCCTCCAGGTAGGAACACCGCCTAGGCCCCTGGGGCTACCCTGTCTGTTTTTTTTGTGAAGATTTTATTTATTTATTTTTAAAGAGAGAGGAAGGGAGGGAGAAAGAGAGGGAGAGAAACATTGATCAGTTGCCTCGCACACACCCTGGCCGGGGACCAAACCCACAATCCATGCATGTGCCCTGGCTGGGAATCAAACCAGCCACCTTTTGCTTTGCGGGATGACATGCAGCTAACTGGGCCACACTGTTGGGGCCACCCTGTCTCTCATTCTCTGAGGAAAAGTACCCTGTCTCCATCCAGGCACCCCTGGGGTTATTTCTGGGGCTCCACAGGGGGACAGGTGTAAGGGAGTCTTCAGGACACAATGACTTCAGGCAAGTCACTTAAGCCTCTGTGCCTCAGTTTTCTTCCCTGTGTAAGGAGGCTGATGATAGCTCCAGCTATCCCCGTGCGAGAGGTCTAGAACTTCCTGAGGCCGTGTTCTTAGGGTGACTCTTTATTTGGAGTGATGTGTTGGGGAGGGCTCTGGGGGCAGCCGCGTCCTCTCAGGTCTGAGATCAGTTGTAACGTCGTCCTGCTTGAGAGCCAGGGAGGAGACCGAGAGAAACTGAGGAAGGAAATGAGACATCAGGCCTTCACCAGCCCTGAACCCTTGTCCCAGCCGCGCCCCGAGATGGGTCCCCTCCCCATGTCCCAGAGTCCCAGTTCCCCAAGCCCTGTCTCTCTCCCTTTCCTTAACCACCCCCCAACCCACGTGTCCTGCCCCATCTGGAGAGGGACACTGCCCTGCGTGGAGCGGAAGCCCCAAGCCTTTTCTTTTTCGTGGGATCCATTTTGCTTTTTATTTTATTTTTAGACAGAGGGGACGGGAGGGAGAAAGAGAGGGAGAGAAACATCAGTGTGTGGATGCCTCTCGCACAGCCCCCACCAGGGACCTGGCCCATAGCCCAGGCATGTGCCCTGACTGGAAAGTGAACCAGTGACCCTGTGGTTTGCAGGCCAGTGCTCAGTCCACTGGAGCCACACCAGCCAGGGCATTTTTGCTTCTTTGTTCAGCTTCCCCTGATTGTTAGCAATCAGACTTTAAGCTTGTCTTTAATCAGCTGGAGCCAACTTTTATTTCAATGTTTTAAATAAACAGTAAAAGAGAATTTAAGAAAACTTTTCAGAGAAGCCACCTCGACAGCTCGGAGTCCCGTCTGCCCCTGGCCACTGGGTGTCCCATTTTCCCACTGATGACTTTTTTCCTCTGCAGGATCTGATCCATCATCCCACATGGCACTGAGCAATTTCTTATTTTTAATACAAATATTTTTAATCAAACAAAGCAAAGCCTTACGGTATTTTGGGCGTCACAGGCATTTCAGAATTACTCACTCCAGAGGGAGGGAGGGAGTGATCCCCATGTCTCAGTCCTCCCCCCACAAGGCAAGAGTTGGTTTTCTCTTTTCTGGACTTCTCTCGATAACTCCTGTGCACCTGCCGCCCCACCACCCAGGCCCCACCAGAACCCCCATCAGTTCACCTTATTTTTGTGCCCAGCCATGCAGGGACCCCCAAGAGAACAGCGGTCCATCCTCTGGGCCCCCAAGTGGGTGGATTATTCCAGCAAGTACGGCTTTGGCTACCAGCTGTTGGACGGGAGCAGTGGTGTCCTGCTTCGGGATGGCACCCACATGGCCCTGCGCCCCCCAGGGGGGTAAGTGGCAGGGCTCCTGTCCCCTTGGGGACCAGGCTGTCCCCCTGCCTTTCTTCATCCATTCCTCAAGTATTCAAGTACCTACTGTGCACACCTACAGCCACTCGCTGCCTGGTGTGGAAGAACAATGATAAATGAACAAGTTGATTTCAGGTGGGACTTTTCTGAAGGAAGTGACCGGGCAAGGTGACAGATGGGGTGGTGGATGTGGCTCACAATAGCATGGTTGTGGAGGGGCTTTCTGAAAATGTGACATTCAGGCAAGACATGAATGGTAAAATGCAGCCTGTTGGGAACAGCATTCGATGCACAGGGAACAGCATGTGCAAGGCACCAAGGAAGGAACTGAGCATGGTGGATCTGAAGAACAGTGGGGACTCCAAAGTGAGTGAGGGGGAGATAGGAAGGATGTGAAGTCAGTGCCCTTTAAGGCCACTGTTGGGGTTGGGCAGGAAGGAGGGATCTGACTCACACTTTTAACAAGATCTCTCTGGCAGGAATGATGCAGGGGACCAGCAGGGGAGGTGACTGGACTAGTTAGCTGGGCAAGGGCAGTGGCTTGGACTGGGATGGTGGCAGAGTAGAGAGGCAAGGGAGCTGGAATCTTGACTGTGTTTGCAGGCGGGGAGGATGGAGCGCCACAGGGTGAGATGGAAAGGTGGCAGAAGGGTGGGTATGGGGGTGATCAGGATCTCAGTGGACAGGCTGAGCCCATGGTTCCAGAGGTCTGGAGTTCAGGAGAGGGGCGGGCCTGCAGAGCATGGTCAGTGTGGAGCTGGTCTTCAAAGCAACAGTCCAAGGGGGTGTTGTTATGTGGGAAGGTGTCCTGGCCTAAGGTACCCAGGACAGCAGCTGTGACAGCTGGCACCCTGTTCCCCTGCCCTCAGCCAAGTCAGCTACATGCCTGACAGAGGGAAGCTGGAAACATTTGCCCTGAGGGACGTGCCCAGCCTGCTGGGTGCCAAGCTGGCCGTCTTGCGACTCTTTGCTGGCTACATGCAGCAGCGGCTGCAAGAGGTGAGGGGAGCGGGGCTGGTGGAGCTGGTGGGCCGTTGGGACTGGCAGGTGGAGAAACCCTGGCCCTAAGACCCTTGTGGCTGGGTCTGTCCACAGGAGGGGGACCTGCCTGTGCCCACTGAGTCTGCTAGCCCCAGCCTCTGCCTGCTGCGCTTCCTTGTGTCCCAGCAGGCCCTGCTGCTGTTCTTCAGTGATGGAACCCTGCAGGTGAGCACGGGCCCTCATCCTCAGGGGCCCCTGGGGGGTCAGCGGGTTGGCAGCAGCCCTGACCCCTGGACCATGCTGGCTGTTCCAGTGCACACTGTTGGAGGTGGGGCTCCAGGAAACAGCTGCCTCCTGGCAGGGGGGCAAAGTATTGACTCTTAATTTCAAAAATTACAAAATTGAAAATAAAATGTGCCCTGACCAGTGTGGCTCAGTTGGTTGGGCGTCATCCCACCAAGCAAAGCGTTGCCAGTTAGATTCCTGGTCAGGGCTCGTGCCTGGGTTGTGGGTTTGGTCTCCAGTCGGGGGTGTGTGAGGGGCGACCGATCGTTTCTCTCGCACATCGATGTTTCTCTCTCCCTCTCCTTCCCTTCCTCTCTCTCTGTACATGAATAAATAATTAAATAAAATCTTTTTGAAAAGAAAATGAGTGTAAGAAACGGCAAAATGTAATTTGGGGTCATCTTCGTGGGTGGTTTCATTTAGCAGCTGTCAAAATGTCATTGCCTTGGGAAATCATTTTTAAGTTGAGTTTTTCCTGAGAAGTCCTGGCAATTTCTGAGAAATCAGCCAGTTCTAAAACATTTCAAAATAAGTAGCCTATGATACTTTCATTATTATTCTTAATTTTTTATTACTTTAAAATTTTTTACAGTAGGAAAAACAACTCTAGCCGTTCAGACTGGGCGGGGCCACGCCCTGGGCTGGGCGGGGTCTCAGGAAGACAGCACTGTCTCCAAGGCCCCGCGGGACACTCGGGGGACACTGGTACTTGGTGAGGGGCTAGAGGTCTTCAGGTGACAGGGTAAAAATGGAAGTCTCACTGGGTGACCGTGGGCAGGGCAGTCCTGTCTAAAACTCAGTTTCTGCTTCTGTACAGTAGAACTCTGGGCTCGTGACTCTCTGAGTTCCTAGGAGTGGGACAGCCTCTGAGACCCAGGTCAGACGGCTCTCAGTCTCCTGCCCACTTGTCCTTCTGTCTGTAAGGCCAAAGCTGGGGGCAGCCCCAGGGAAACCCTTCTCCCCTTGACCTCGGCTCCTTACCTTTGGCAGGTCAGCTGCAGTGGAGACCAGGTTCAGCTGGTGCTGAGTGGTGGGGGCGAAGAGTTGCTGCTCACGGTCTGGGAACGGGGCCAGCCTCATACCTCCTACACTCTGGGGATGTTGCAGAGCCACGGCTGTCCCCCAGCTGCTCGCCACCACCTGCTTCATGCTCTCCGCATGCTGCAGAGCATCTAGCGCCCCCTAGGGTCAGACTGGACCTCTGCATGTTGATGCCAGGGACCCAGGCTCCATTTCTGTTCTCCTTGCTCTAGAGGGGATGTCCTTGGGGGTAGTTGGTGGGGAGCATGCAGGTGCGTGGGAGGTGGGGGTTCTTGCCTCATGGCGTGACTGTTCAACCCAGACTTTTGTTCAGCTTTCTTTTTTCTTTCATTAAAGAAAACGTGACCTGTAGCCTGCCATCTGACTTTCTTTGGGGGAGTTTGAGGACCTTCAGCAAGGCGACTCAAACCCAGCGAGATCTGAGCCCAGCGTTCTTTGTGACACAGACAGGCGGACCAGATTCTCACCAGCACAGAAGTCAGGATCAGAGTGGTGTTGTGGAGTGGCCAAAAATCTAAACGTTAGGACAATTATTTAACGGACGGTCAGCGAGAAAATGAATGTTGGGAGCTAGAGAGATGGTGACTTGTGTGTTACGCAGGGGGCGAAAACGCTCGGCACAGCTGTCACCTGCGATGACCTAGAGTTGGGGGGAATGTGCTTCCTGGGGAAGGTCCTATTTTTTTTCTCTCCATTGACATACATTTATGTTCCTGTAAAAAAGAACCCATCAGCACACCCTGGCTTTTCCCCTCGACAGCGTGCCTGGCTGCATTCCTGGATTTGTGTGTAAGGAGCCACATTGTTTCTTTTAATAGAAGGAGGGGATGAAGAAAATCTGGCATTTAGGATCTGGGGAGGAAATGCCAGATTTTCGGTGGGATCAGTGAGGGGAGGTCAAGTGTGCTGATGTAGGAGGAGAAATTGCTCTGTTTAAAAGAGGGGTAAACACTGGAAGATTCCCTGGGGAACCTGGGAGGAACTGGGTGTGGGTGGGAGAGGGTCTGGCAGAAGACAGAAGCAATGCTGGGTGGGGCATCATGGCCTTTTCTTTCCTTTTTATATTACTATTAATGTAAAATTCACATAACATGCAGTTAATTATTTTAAGGTGTACAACTCGGTGACAATAAATGCATTTACAGTGTTGTGCAACCACCACCTCTATCTAATTCCAAACTGTTTTTATCAAGCCAGAACGCCCCTCCCCCACCCCTACAGCCACTGACCCACTTCCTGTCTCTGTGGCTGTGCCTGCTCTGGACGCTTCGTATAAATGCAGTCACTCTGTGGCCTTTCGTGTCTGGCTTCTCTGAGGAGCATCATGTGTTCAAGGTCCATGCAACCTCTAGTGAGTGTCTGCGCTTCACTCCTTTTCATGGCTGAGTAATATTCCAGTGTGTGGAGGGACCACATTTTATGTATTTGCTCATTTGATGGCATCATGTTACAAATGACAGAAACCTCCCCCCTAATTTTATGAGCAACACAAAGGATTGGCTTCTGACATTGAAATGTTCAAAAGAAGAAGAGATGGTCGCTGGCAAGGATGGGTCAGGGGCTCAGTTGAAGAATAAAGAGGGAGGCTTCCTCCTGCCTCTCCCTTTCCCTCACTCTTTCTCCATTTCTCTCTCTACATCCTTTGTTTTGGCTCAACATAGTGACAAAGATGACCCCTGGCAGGTGCTGACACGCTCCCCAGCAAACCCTGGGCAAAGGCAGCAGCCACATATTTCTCATTAGTGCCAGCAAAAGTCCCAGGTTGAAGTTTATTGGCTGGACCTTGGTCACATGACCTCCCCACCCCACCCCTGAGTCTCCTGGACGCAGAGTGGAGTGTAGCAGGTCCAGAAGCTGGGAGAGTAGATGCTGATATCCCATCATCCTCTTGCTTTGCTGTGGTATGTTTCCGATCAACAGACAGTCTTTTGTGTGAAAATGCCATGGTGGGCAACCTGTAAGATGGCCCTACCTCCTGGCGCCCATCCCCTTGTGCAGCCATCTCCGCACTGAATAGGGTTGGTCTATGGAGCCAACAGGGTATCAGCAGTGACAGCCTGTGACTTCTGAGACCAGGCCGTACAGATGTGAGGCTTCTACCCCACTCCCTTGGACCACTTGCTCTGTGGGGAGCCGGCTGCCATGCTGTGAGGAGACCCAAGGAACACTGTGGAGGGGCCTACGGAGAGGACTGGAGCCTTCCACCGAGAGCAACATGAGGGAGCCATCCTGGAAGTGGCTCCTCCAGCCCCCGTCATGCCTGCAGACAAGGCACCCTGGGTGGCAGCTCAACTGCAACTCCACGAGAAACCCTTTGTTAGAACCACTGAGGCAAATCACTTCTGAATTCCTGACCCACAGAAGCTGTGAAAAAATGTTTCTTGCTGTTTCAAGCCACTCTGTTTTAGGGTGACTTGTTACCCTGCAATAATGTACTAATACGCTTGCCCAAACACCAGAGATGAGGACCCAGCCCCATCTCTGTCCAGAACATTGGTTTCAGGGGAGAAAAAAACAAAACACTGTCAGCAATTTAACTGCCTATCTTGCAAAATGACCTACCTAGAGTATTTATTCCCATCTGCTCGTGGGCGTAGGAACAGCAACAATCTGTGAGAATCGCCCACAACGGTGGTTTATAAACCAACCACAGAATATATTAATTTTGTAACCTCCCAGGCCGATTCTTATTTCTAGGTATAAGAACGTCAAGAAATGGCAAAGTGCCCACAACGCCCTTGCACTGAACCTTTCTGGAATCCTCTTCAGGGAGGGGGACTGTGAACTCCAAATAAATAAAGTTATTGTTTTGGGGGGTGCTTACAAAGGTTGGAGCTTAAAGAAATGGCAGTGAATCCATTCCAGGTCTGGCCAGGACCTTTTTTTGTGTGTGTGTGAGGAACTGTGGAGGGCATTTTTAACTTTGAAGAATGAAAGAAAACTTGCCTTAATTTAATTCTACCTTTACCCCCGCCTTCCATCTGAAGCATCCGATGAACGCTGCCTCCGGACCACCTCCTCATTGGTTCACGGGAGCATGTGACACAGATGCCTCCTACAATCACCAGCAAGTAAGGTGGGGCCAAGGCGGCAGCATCCCTTGAGGCTAGTTGGCTGCTGCCCTAGCAACCTAGCATGATGCCACAAAGCCTGGCAGGGTCCAGGTCCTGCCTGCCCGCATCTGCTTCCCCATCTGTTCTAAGCCAGAGCTCGCCTGGGAGCTGGGGGCTTTCTTCTCCCCCTTTAACAGATGAGGAAACTGAAGTATGTGCGTTGCATCAATATACAAAACTGCAGGGAGAAAATGCAGGTGGCTGTAGGTAGGTCAACCTGGCCACCCTAACCCTTTGGGGAGTTTTTAAAATCCTGATGACTCTAGGGAATTATGCCAAGGGAAAAAAATCCAAAGGTCACATCATGTAAAATTCCATTTATGTAACTTTTTAAAAATTGAGAGAGAGAGAGAAACATCCACTTGTTGGGATCAAACTCACAACCTTGGCATATCAGGACAACACTCTAACCAGCTGAGCTGCCCAGCCAGGGCCCATTTGTGTAACATTTTTGAAATGACAACAAATAAGTGGTTTCCAGAGAATTACAGGTGGGAATGGGTGGAAGGGGAAGGACTGAGGTTATAACAGAGAAGCTCTAAAGGTTCTTGTGGTCATAGATACACGAACCTACTCAGTTGATACTATTGTGGACAATACAAATGCATACACAGGAGAGCAAGTAAAACTGGGAAATCTGAAGTCTGGGTAAGGTAGGTGTCAACATCCACCCAGGTTGAGATGCTGATTTCATTTTGCAAAATACAACCTTATTGGAGGAGACTGAGCCAAGTGTAAGATGGACTTTCTGTTATTTCTTACAGCTGCAGGGGCATTCACAATGATCTCAATAAAAATTTCAATTTAAAAAAATTCTGCCCTGCCCTGGTTGGCGTAGCTCAGTGGATGGAGCACGGGCCTGAGAATCAGAGGGTTGCCATTTTGATTCCCAGTCTAGGGCACATGCCTGGGTTGCTGGTCAGGTCCCCAGCTGGGTTGAGAGGCAACCACAATTTGATGTTTCTCTTCCTCTCTTTCTCCTTCCCTTCCCCTCTCTCTAAAAATAAATAATAAATTTAAAAATCTTTAAAAAAGAATTCTGCCCTGACCCGGTAGTTCAGTAGACTGGAGCATTGGCCTGATATGCTAAGGCTGTGGGTTCAATCCCTGGTCAGAGCACATACAAGAATCAACTAGGGAAATTAAACAATAATAATAAAACAAATGGGACTACATCAAACTAAAAAGGTTTTGCACAGCAAAAGAAGCCATCAACAAAATAGAAGGACAACCAAATGGAATGGAAAAACATTCACCAATACATCTGATAATGGGTTAATATCCAAAATTTATAAAGAACTTATAAAACTCAATATCAAAAAAACAAGTGAGCCAGTTAAAAATGGGCAAAGGACCTGAACAGACACTTCTCCAAAGACCACACATAGATGGCCATAGATATATGAAAAGTTGCGTAGCACCACTAATCATCAGAGAAATGTAAATTAAAACCACAATGAGATATCATCTCACACCTTCAGAATGGCTATGATCAATAAATCAACAAACACAAAGTGCTGGCGAGGATGTAAAGAAAGGGGAGCCCTCATGCACTGTTGGTGGGAATGCAGACTGGTGCAGCCACTGTGGAAAGCAGTTTGGAGATAACTCAAAAAATTAAAAATGGAACTTCCTTTTGACCCAGCAATCCCACTTCTGGTAATATACCTGAAGAAACCCAAAACACTAATTTGAAAGGACATAAGCACCCCTGTGTATACTCATTGAAGCATTATTTACAATCACCAAGATATGGAAGCAGCCCAAGTGTCCATCAGTAGATGAGTGGACAAAACAACTGTGGAACATTTACACAATGGAATACTACTCAGTGGTAAAAAAGAAGAAAATTTTACTCTTTACAACAGCAATGGATGGACCTGGACAACATTATGCTAAGTGAAATAAGCCAGTCAGAGAAAAACAAGCACTACATGGTTTCACGCATGTGGAATCTGATTAATAAACTGAACTAACAAGCAAAATAGAGACAGACGCATAGATAGAGAGCAGGATGACAGCTATAGGGAGTGTTTAAAGGGTGGAGCGATCACACAAAAAGGTAAAAGGACTCATGGACATGGACAATAGTGTGGCGACTGTAGGGGTGTGGGGGAGAGGTATAAGGAGAACAACTGGTAATGGAAAAAATACAATAAAAATATAAAAAAATGAAAACATCAATCTAGGG